GGGGGAAAGAAAGACAGACCAGCCAGGAATGGCCACCTGTAAACCTGGGTTGGGATCCCGCCCGTGGCACTGACTGTGGCCTAGAAGCAAGTGGCACAGCCATGCCTGAGTTGGACTCACTTTCCCCTCTCGTGCCTCCGATTCCCACCTGTGAAATGGAGGTGAAATCACGTTTTCCTCAAAGGGCTGTGCTCTGTGCCTGCCACCCAAATAGAAATTGTGCCCACCAAGTGTTAGGGCCGGTTCTCAGTACACCGACTGCGTGGATTTGCAGAGGGTGGAGTGCAGGGAGGGCTCCTCCTGGGAGCCTGTGGCCGAGGCTGCACAGCATCTTTGGTTGCTGTTCCTGTCTCCACCGTGAAGATGGAGCCACGTCCCTCGCGGCCCCTGGCTGGGCCCCACCTCCCGGAGACTCAGGAAGGGCTTGGAATCGGTGCCAGCTTTGCCGGCTGTGGGCCCCACGGCGGTGATGAATAACTTGTTTATCTGCTGGAGCTGCTCCCACCGCTCTCTCGGTGCCTGGCAGGCAGAGGTCTGGAAGGGGCGGGCAGGGACGGGGAAGGCTGGCTCACCAGGCAGTCACCGCCCCTCCTCCCTCCTCCCTCTGCCCCACTCCCCAATTCAGCATCAACCTCCACCTAAACCTGCTTCCTGCGCTTTCCTGCTCCTCACCTTCCCCCAGATCCTGTTTTGGAAGAAGCAGGTTGAAGTGTTTGAAAACGCAGGCTCTGAAATCAGGCTGGATTCGAATCCCAGCTTTGTCGCTTGTCAGCCATGTGACTTTGGACACAACTTAAACTCTTGCAGCCATCACTCCCCCTGTAAAGTTTTTTTTTTTTTTTTTTTTTTTTTTTTTTTCTGAGACAGAGTCTCACTCTGTCCCCCAGGCAGGAGTGCAGTGGCACAATCACAGCTCACTGCAACCTCCGCCTCCCAGGTTCAAGATCCTCCTGCCTTAGCCTCCCGAGTAGCTGGGATTACAGTTGTGCATCACCACACCCACCTAAAAAATTACATTTTTAGTAGAGATGGGATTTCACCATGTTACCCAGGCGTGTTTTAAACTCCCGACCTCAGGTGATCCTCCTGCCTTGGCCTCCCAAAGTACTGGAATTTCAGGCATGAGCCACTGCACCCAGCCTCCTCCCCTGTAAAGTCTGATGAGAACCTTACTTACCTAATGGGGCTTCACCCTTGAGACAACCCACAAGGGTCCCCTCACCCCGCCTCCCTCCTGAAGCTGCCAGAATGCTTTTCCTGCTTGGAACCCCCCTTAAGGGCCTCCACCCTTACTCTGAAAGGGAGTCTCCACCTCTAGGCCTTCCTCTCACTTTCTTGCACAGAAAAAGGTTAGGTTAGTCTTTTGTGTGTGTGTGTGTGTGTGTATGTGTGTATGTGTTTGTGGCAAGGTCTTGCTCTGCCTCCCAGGCTGAAGTGTAGTGGGACAATCATAACTCACTGTAGCCAAGCTCCTGGGCTCAAGTGATCCTCCTGCCTCAGCCTCCCAAAGTGGTGGGATTATAGGCTTGAGCCACCACACCAGGTCTCCAAATTATTTCTCTAATCTACTCCCTCTGCTATGGTCTGAATGTGCATGTCCCTCTGTCCCCAAATTCTTACATTGAAACCTAAATCCCCAATGCAATAGTATTAAGAGGCAGGGCCTTTGAGAGGGTTATGTGGACTCTGCCCCCACGGATTAGATTAGCACCTTTGTAAAAGACGCTTGAGGCCAGGTGTGGTGGCTCATGCCTATAATCCCAACACTCCGAGAGGCCGAGTTAGGGGAATTGCTTGAGCCCAGGAATTTGAGACCAGCCTGAGCAACACAGTGAGACTTCATCTCTACAAAAAAAAAAAAAAAAAAAAAAAAAAATTAGCCAGGCATGGTGGTGCATCTATAGTGCCAGCTAATTGGGTGGCTGAGGCAGGAGGATCTCTTGAGCCTAGGAGGTTGAAGTTGCAGTGAGCTGTGATCATGCCACTGTACTCCAGCCTGAGTAACAGAGTGAAAAAAAAGAGAAAAAAAGAGAAAAAAGTGATTATGCCACTGCACTCCGGTCTGGACACCAAAGTGAGACCTTGTCTCAAAATATATAAATAAAATAAAAAAGGCTTAAGAGAACCAACTTGACCCATCCATGTACCATGTGAGGATATAGTAAGAAAGTACCATCTATGAGGAACGGGCCCTCTCCAGACACTGAATCTGCTGACAGCTCAATCTTGGACTTTCTCCAGAACTGTGAGCAATAAATTTATGTTGTTTACAAATTACACAGTCTAAGGTATTTGATTATAACAGGAGGAATGGACTAACCCCTGCCCATGTATGGTCTCAAGCCTGAGTCACTACCTCCAGAATAACCTCCCTGCCTGCCTTCCTCCTTCTCATCAAGGCTGCCCCCATCTGATTATACCACTTTCTTATTAGAAATTATTCACCGACATCCTTGAACCCAGAGCACATGTGTGCACTGGAGGTGTTGCTGCCCTTCAGAGATGTTTCAAAATTTATGAGAGCATTTTTGGTTGTCACAATAATTCAAGAGTGGGAATACTGGCATTCAGTGGATGGAGGCCAGAGATTCTAGACTTCCAGAAATGTACAGAACTTGCCCCCACAACAAAGATTATCAGAGGACCCGCCAGACATTCATGTAGGCAAAAATCCCATTTATCGCTATCTAAGTCTACAACCTACCTTCAGATTACATAAAATGCAAAGCGTTGGAGTCTTTTCTTCCTTAAAAATGTGCCTTGGCTGGGCATGGTAATCCCAGCACTTTAGGAGGCCAAGGTGGGGAGGATTTCTTGGGGCTAGAATTCAAGGCCAGCCTGGTGAACACATGGAAATCTTGTCTCTTAAAAAATAAAATAGGCCGGGTACGGTAGCTCATGCCTGTAGTCCCAGCACTTAGGGAGGCTGAGGTGGGTGGATCTCGAGGTCAGGAGATCAAGACCATCCTGAATAACACAGTGAAACCCTGTCTCTACTAAAAATACAAAAAAAAAAAAAAATTATCCAAGAATGGTGGTAGGCATCTGTAGTCCCAGCTACTTGGGAGGCTGAGGCAGGAGAATGGCATGAACCCAGGAGATGGAGCTTGTAGTGAGCAGAGATCAGGCCACTGCACTCCAGCCTGGGAGACGCAGCAAGACTCCATCCAAAAAAAAAATAAAAATAATAAAATAAAATAAAATTAGCCAAGTGTAAATGATGGAGTCAAGGTCTTGCTCTGTTGCCCAGGCTGGAGTGCAGTGGTGCAATCTCAGCTCACTGCAAACCTCCACCTCCCAGATTCAAGCGAGTCTCATGCCTCAGCCTCCCGAGTAGCTGGGACTACAGGCATGCGCCACTACACCCAGCTAATTTTTGTATTTTAAATAGAGACAAAGTCCCACCATTTTGCCCAGGTTGGCCTTGAACCCCTGGCCTCATGTGATCCACTCACCTCGGCCTCCCAAAGTGCTGGTATTACAGGCATGAGCCACTGAGCCCAGCCAAGCTGGACAGCTTCTGAGCCTGAATTCTTAACATCTCTCCCCATGAACCTGCACTCTATGAAACATCACGTTGTGCTGTCCATGGGTGGCTTTGTCCCATCACTGGGTTATGCATCGCAAGAGGGCAGGGATCAAGTATTTTCATTTCTGAACACCCAAAGGCTGACAGAGAGTGGAGGTGCATCTTAACACAGGAATAAGTCAATGCCCTAATCACTCGTGGTCAAAAATCACCCTTGGAAATTTTATTAGTTTCTGACTGCTGCTTTAACAAATTACCATGAACTTAGTGGCTAAAACAACATAAATTTATGATCTTACAGTTGTAGAGGTCAGAAGTTCTAAATGGGTCTTACTGGGCAAAAATCAAGGTGTCAGCAGGACTGAATTCCTTCTGGATGGTCTAAGGAAGAATCTGTTAATTTGCCTTTTCCAGTTCCTAGAAGCCACCTGCACTCCTTGGCTTGTAGCCCCATTACCCCATCTTCAAATCTACCAGCGTTGAGTGAAATCCTTCTCCTGCTGTCATCTCTGTGGCTATCTCTTCTGATTCTGTCTTTTCTGTGATTACATGAGGCCCACCCAGTTAATCCAGGCATCTCCCTATTTTCAGGTTAGCTGCAGCTAGGCATCTCCCTATTTTAAGTGATTTGACTACTAACCTTAATTTTATCTGCAAACTTGATTGTCCTTTGATATGTAACAACATATTCACAGGTTCTGCGGATTAGAGGTAAAAATCTTTGGGGACCATTTCTCTGTCTACCACAAGAATCCCTTAAATTGCCCATGGATTTGCAGGGCACTGAGAAAACAACTTAGATTCATGGTTCAAAGCATGGAGTCTGGAGCAAGATTATCGAGTTCAAATCTCAGCTTTTTGACCTTGGGCACTTACTTAACTTTTCTGTGTCTCTGTGTCTCAACTTCACCATCTGTAAAATGGGAATGATAATAATAGTGCCCACTTTGCAGGTTAGTAAACACTTAGAATGATGCCCAGGATATAGTAGATGCAATGTGGTTGTTTATTAAATATATTAAATTTCATGGGTATATATAGCATTGGAACAAGATTGTGGTGTCTGGCTGAGCCTCAGACAAAATTATTAACTTGACTCTCAGCCAGCTGTGAGGTACCACGGAAGTGGAGACTGACTCAGGAGTCTCATTTTTCTCTCACTCTGGGACACGTGCTTGCTAAGTGGAAGAGGATGCTGAAATCACCTGTACTATTTCAATTGTTTGTGCTTCTTTCTGTTTTGCCAAGTGAGTGATAAAATTGACTGCAGATTTGATGTGACTTCATTATGAATATGTGTTGAATGAATGAATGAGTGGATGGATGGATGTGTCTTCCCTGAAGATCTGTCTCTGCCACACATCCCTCCATGTGGGTTCTCTTTCATGGATGGCCTAGGGAGGTAGCTACAGAAAGGGTGATAAGAATGATGCTAGGATCTGGCATCTGACTGGCATTTACTCTTCCTCAGGATCCTGAGGTCTCGTTCAGGACCATGGAGAGCGGCACCAGCAGCCCTCAGCCTCCACAGACAGATCTCCTGGATGCCTTTCCCCAGAAGGGCTTGGAGCCCGGGGACATCGCGGTGCTGGTTCTGTACTTCCTCTTTGTCCTGGCTGTTGGACTATGGGTAAGCCAGGCCACTGGGGGATGGGGGATGAAGAGAGAAGGAAATGTCTGTTTAGAGGTCTGGAGTTAACCTCATCCTTTTGGAGCTAAGATACTGACTGTGAGAGGAAGAAACTAACACAAGGTTATAGAGTAATCAGAACTTAAAAATTTTAAACATGCATTAGGTGTGGACTATTGTCAGACACTGTGTTAAGCATTTTCACTTACGTTTCTCATGTAATTTTCACAGTGCCCTGTGAGAAAGATGCTATTATAATATCCATTTTACAGATAAGGAAACAGAGGCCCAAATAATTTAAGATCCTCATCCTGTAAGTAAGTTAGGAGATCTGGGGTTAGAATCCCTGTCTCCCTTACTTTGAAGCTCATGGTTTTTTTTTTGTTTTGTTTTCGTTTTTTGTTTTGTTTTTGTTTTTTGTTTTTTGAGATGGGATCTCCCTCTGTTGCCCAGGGTACTAGAATACAGTGGTGGCAATCATAGCTCACTGTGGCCTCAACTTCTTGGGCTCAAGTGATCTTCTTACCTCAGCTGCCAGGTAGTTAATTTTTAATTTTTTTTTTTTTTTTTTTTTTGTAGAAATGGGGTCTCAGTATGTTGCCCAGGCTGGTCTCAAATTCCTGGGCTCAAGCAGTTCTTCCATCTCAGCCTCCCAAAGTGCCGGGATTACAAATGGCCCAACTTTTTTTTTTTTAACTCTAAAGAAAAATTTTAAAGGCAATACAATCACATGGTTCAAAAATAAAAATCACTTATGAGAAGCGATGAAAAGTCTCAATATTAGCCTTCTCTCCACAGGTAATCAGTATTATTAGCTTGTTAGTACATTAGCATATTGTTCAAGTGTCTTTATGCAAATCCAAGCAAATTTTAATATGTATATTTCCCTCTTTCTTAAACAGAAGGTTGCTTATACTGTTTCTTAACTTGTTATTTTTCACTTCTCAGTGTCTTTTAGATATCTTTTCACATTAGCACATAGACATTCCTTATCTTCTTAAAAGTTGCACAATATTTCCTTAGATGATTGTGCTGTAATTTATTTAACTAGTCTCGGGCTGAGGGTCATTTGGATCGTTTCCAATCTCTTACTATAATAAACTATACTATAATAAACAAACTCTGGCCGGGCACGCTGGCTCATGCCTGTAATCCCAGCACTTTGGGAGGCCGAGGCGGGCATATCACTTGAGGCCAGGAGTTTGAGACTGGCCTGGCCAACATGGTGAAACCCCATCTCTACGAAAAAGACAAAAATTAACCAGGTGTGGTGGTAGGTGCCTGTGGTCCCAGCTACTCAGGAGGCTAAGGCAGGAGAATCACTTGAACCTGGGAGGCGGAGGTTGTGGTGAGCCGAGATCACGCCATTGCACTCCAGCTTAGGCAACAAGAGTGAAAATCTGTCTCAAAAACAAACAAATAAGTAAATAAATAAATAAACTCTGCACACTATTTGGGAGTGCAGCTATAAGACAAATTCCCTGCAGCAGAATTGCCAGGCTAAAGAATATACGCATTTGGTATTATACTAGTTTGTGTCAAATTGCACTCCTTAGGTGTACACATCAGAAATGATGAGGAAGTCTGTTTTGTCGCATTCTCACCAACAGTGTATTGCCAAACTCATTTTTGTCAGGCTAGGAAAAATAATATCTCAAAGTATTGTTAATATGCATTTATCTTATAATGAATGAGACTGGGCCCCATAACATATGTTTAAACACCATATATTTTCTTTATGTGAACTATGGCTTCATATTGTTTGCCTTATTTCTGTTAGGTTCTTCTTTTTCTTATCAATTTCCAGGAGCTCTTTTTGTATTAAGGATATTAACAACTTTGAGATAAAAGGTCAGGCGCAGTGGCTCACACCTGTAATCCCAGCACTTTGGGAGGCCAAAGTGAGCAGATCACTTGAACTTAGTTCAAGACCAGCCTGGCAACATAGTGAGCTACCATCTCTACAAAAAACACAAAAATTAGTTGAGCATGGTGGCACATGCCTGTAGTCCCAGGTACTTGGAAGGCTGAGCCAGGAGGACTGCTTGTGCCTAGGAGTTCAAAGTTACAGTGAGCCATGATCATGCCACTAGAGAGAGAGAGAGAGAGAAAGAAAGAAAGGAAGAAAGAGAAGGAAGAAAGGAAGGAAGAAAGGAAGAGAGAAAGAGAGAAAGAGAGAGAGAGAAAGAAAAAGAAAGAAAGAAAGGAAGAAAGAAAGAGAAAGAGAAAAAGAGAGAGAAAGAGAGAAAGAAAGAGAGAGAGAGAAAGAAAGAGAGAGAGTGAAAGAAAAAGAAAGAAAGAAAGAAAGAAAGAAAGAAAGAAAGAAAGAAAGAGAAAGACAAGAGAAGGGAAGGAAAGGGAAAAAGAAAGAAAAAGAAGAAAAAAAAATGAAAGAAAGAAAGAAGAGAATAGAAAAAGAGAAAGAGAGAGGAAGGAAGGGAGGAAGGAAGGAAAAGGAAAGGAAAAGGAGGGGAAGAAGAAAGAAGAAAGAAAGAAAGGCAGAAAGAAAGAGAAAGAATGGAAGGAAGGAAGGAAGGCAGAAAGAAAGAAAGAAAGAAAGAAAGAAAGAAAGAAAGAAAGAAAGAAAGAAAGAAAAGAAAAGGAAAGAAAAAAAGAAAGTTAATCACCAATGTGATGGTATTAACAGATGGGATCTTTCTAGGGTGATTAAGTCATAAGAACTGAGCCCTCACGAATGGGATTAGAGACTTTATTAAAGAAGCTCAAGGGAACTAGTTTTACCCCTTTTTGCCCTTCTGTTCCTCTGGCATGTGAAGACACAGAGGAGGTACTATCTATGAGGAACAGGCCCTCACCAGACACCAAACCTCTCGGTGCCTTGATCTTGGACTTCCCAGTCTCCAGAATTGTAAGAAACAAATTTCTGTTGTTTAAAAATTTTGGGTATTTTGTTATAGCAGTGCAAAACAGACTGAGACATGAGCCTCAGTTTCTTCCTTTATCAGATTGGCCTAATGACAACAACCTTATAGGGGTTGGTAAGGATTAAATGAGGTGATGCATATAAAGTGCTTGGCACAGCGTTTGGCACATAGTAAACACTCAATAAATGGTATCAGTTATAAAATATCATAGACAAGCCGTGAGCCTAAGACTCAAATGTCTAGGGAGATCAAGTAGATTATCATAAAATAAATGTTTGTAGCAACAAGTGGTAGGAACTGTGTTGACCTGAAGAGTTTATGTCTCCTCTAAAGACGCCAAAATTAAAATTTTCTCCAAAACTGTGGGAGAAACAAAATACATTTGATCTCCCAGAAATATATCCAAATCTGGCCCTTAGGACTCCCAGTTTGCAATCCCTGGCCTTGGGCATTTTGAGATGTCTCTGATTGCTAATGTCTTCCCTCACCCACCTCTCTTCTTTTTTATAGTCCACAGTGAAGACCAAAAGAGACACAGTGAAAGGTTACTTCCTGGCTGGAGGAGACATGGTGTGGTGGCCAGTAAGTGATCTTTGGTTCAATTCAAGTCACTTCTTAAAGAATCTTTAAGTGCTGGGATTCTGTCCAGCCTTTGATCTCTCAGGACTCTCTGATCTCATGTTGTTTGGAAGTCATTGTCTAAACTAGAGAAGGCTTAGCTCCAGCTCAAATTTGTTTAAACAACAATGAAAAAATTCATCAGCTCACCTAAGGGAAAAATCTGGAGTTAGGTTTTAAATATATATATTTATATAAATATAATATTTTTATAATATATATTATATATAATATATAACATATATAATTTATTTATTATATATAGTTATATATTATATATAACTATATATTATATGTAATTTATAGTTATATAATATTAAATATAATTTATATAATATATAATATATAATAAATATATACATATATATAATCACAACCTTAAACAGAAAACCAGTATCGTTTGCTCTACACAGGAAAGCAGGGAATCATAAAAACAAAATTTAAAAATGTGCTTTTCTCCCCTGGACTCATTCATGCAGCTGCATTTAGTTGGTGACTAGGCTAGATAGAAGTCCAAGATGGCTTCATCCACATTTGGGGGACTTTGGCAGTGATCACTGGAATACTGGGACCTCACTCTCTCCCTATTCTCTTTCGTCATTCAGTGGTCTAGCCCAGGGTTTTGTGGTTTTTCTTGCTATTTTTTTTGTTTTTGTTTTAACCAGGTAGCTGAATTTCAAGAGGGCAAAAATGAAAGCTACTAGGCTGTTAAGGTCTTGGCCGGGAAGTCATACAGTGTCACTTCTACCACGTTCTGTTGGTTCAAGTAAATTACAGGCCAGCCCAGTTTCTATATGGGCCAAGTGGAAAAGTCACATTTCAATGGTGTCATTGGGAAAGGCAGAGTAAAGAGCTTCAAAAATGCTCTCCTCCATAAAAGTAATGAGAACCGAAGCAAAAAAAAAAAAAAAAAGAAAAAGAAAAAAGAAAATTGTCAAAATCAACTTTTTTAGAACTCTGGAGATTAACCACATGCTGCAATAATTCAGGAAGCATTTATTCAAGAAAAACAGCTGGATCTCAGGAAAAAAACAGTGAGCTTTGGCCCTGTTTCCATCTGTTTCTCTTTAGCCGTGTAGTAGCCTTGGGAACCACCAGCCTAGAAGCAACTTAAGAGGTCAGAACGGGGTTAGAACTCTTTCAAACTCCATTCTCAAAGAAAGGTCACTATTTTACCTGTCATTTAGTTCCTGGAAAGCCCCACCTGCTAGGCTCATCTTTGTTTGACCTTACCTAGAAGGTAAGGTCAGTGTGAATAGCCTTTTCCCTAGACACATTTGTAGAAAAACAATCAGTGGCAATTGTTCAACATTGCAGCTGTGGCAATAACAGTTTGGCAAATAATATTCTAATAAAGTAACTTCAGTAGAAAAGCTGGGAAGTGAGATGCACATAGGGTGCTTTGAAAAGCTCAGACATATTTCTGGGAATCTAGAAGGCCATGTGCACAGGACCACACACATGCTCAGGAAAGACCCAAGAAAGCCCTAAGCTCCTGCTTCTGGCTGACCTTGAGGCTCTGCACCAGCAGGAAGTGAAGGCTAAGGCAGAGTTGTAAGCTGGAAGAATTGCAAAGACTGGAAAAATTATTGGTTTCAGGGATTTAAGAAAATGTCTGTTCAGTCATTAGCTGCCCAGTAAACTGAGCATAGATTTTGGTGGACACACGTGACAAAGAATTCAGACTTTATAAACTTAATTTAAGAAAGTCATGAAACAAAAAATAGAAGCAGCAACAACAACAGGAATGAATAGAAGAAACAACAATAAACCCTGAAGAGTCAGGAATGATCAGATTTCTAGAGTTACCAGTGACATTATTTTAAATGTCCACCTTTAACAAAAAATTATAAGCCATGCAAAAAGCCCAAGAAATTATGGTCCATACACGGAGGTGGGGGGAGCAGTCAATAGAAAGTGTCCCTGAAAAAGACCAGATGTTATATTCACTAAACAAAGGCCTTAAATCAGCAATTTTATGTATATCCAAAAACCACACAAAAAAGCCATGTCTTAAAAACTAAAGAAAAGTATGAGAACAATGTTTAACCAAACAGAATATATCATTAAAGAGATAGATATTATTGGCCAGGCGTGGTGGCTCACACCTGTAATCCCAGCACTTTCGGAGGCCAAGGCGGGCAGATCACGAGGTCAGGAGATTGAGACCATCCTGGCTAACATGGTGAAACTCCATCTCTACTAAAATACAAAAAATTAGCCAGGCATGGTGGCGGGCGCCTGTAGTTCCAGCTACTCGGGAGGCTGAGGCAGCAGAATGGCGTGAACCCGGGAGGCGGAGCTTGCATTGAGCCAAGATAGCGCCACTGCACTCCAGTCTGAGTGACAGAGCGAGCCTCCGTCTCAAAAAAAAAAAAAAAAGAGATAGATATTATTATTATTATTATCATTATTATTTTGAGATGGAGTCAAAGCTATAGTAATCAAAAGAGTGTGATATTGACAGAAGGATAAACATGTAGATCCATGAAACAGAATTTGATAAGAATTTGATAGGAAAGTCAATAAGGAGGCAAAAAGGCTCTTTCACAATTCTCTCTCCTCTCTTCTCTTCCTTCACCCTTCTCCTCCTCCTTTCCTTCCTCCTCCTCCTCTTTTTCTTCTTGCTCCCTCCTTTCCCCTCCTCACTGGATCTGCCCTTTTTTTTTTCTTTTTTTCTTTTTTTTGAGGTGGAGTCTCTGTTGTCCAGGCTGGAGTGCAGTGGCGCAATCTCGGCTCATTGCAACCTCCACCTCCCCAGCTCAAGCGATTCTCCTGCCTCAGCCTCCTGAGTAGCTGGGATTATAGGCATGTACCACCACGCTTGGCTAACTTTTATATTTTTAGTAGAGACGGGGTTTCACCGTGTTGGCCAGGCTGGTCTCAAACTCCTGACCTCAAGCGATCCGCCTGCCTCGGCCTCCCAAAGTGCTGGGATTACAAATGTGAGCCAGAGTGCCCATCTGGGCCTGCCTTCCTGTGCAGGTCTCCATTCTCCTCTCTCTCTGAACTGGCAGTGATGACTGGCACATGGTGAAACATGCCTCCACACCACTCCCTCACCCCCATCACACACACACCTCCCTGGTTCAACATCCCCAGTCCAAGGGACCAGCAGAGATGGTGTCCTTGTTTCAAATTCCCAGGAAAGAGAAGATAATTTGCCCAGCTTGGGCCAGGTACCCAGGCTTGTCCGATCAATTGAGACCAGGGAGACCAGGGATTGGCATCATCAAGTACAGCACTAGCCATTTAGTGCTATACCAGGAGGACTATCTACTTTGCTAAGTTAGAAGCAGATCTGGGCAGTTAAAAAGGCTTCCTGATTCTCGTCATGAATCACTTTCTACATTACCTCTCATCTTCTTTCCTGACCCCGACCCCCGCAGGGATGCTGGGTACAGTTGTTAAAGCTGTGCACTGCACAACCCTAGAGGGGGCAATCTGCATTTTAGGCCCTGTAGACATGAATATTTATTCTACCAATCTCTGACAGGTGGGCTCTGACCAAGTAAGAGTCTTGGGAAAGGAGAATCTCATTCTAATGTAAACTAAAATGCCAGATAGGCTAGGGGTGGCCCTGCCTTCCTCCACTTCTCTTCTCTGTCCCTTTAGAGCATGGAAAGAATCGGGGGTGGTGAGCAGGTACCCTCGACTTTGTCTCCAAGATCTGACCCCTCCATCTTCCCACAGGTGGGTGCATCCTTGTTTGCCAGCAATGTTGGAAGTGGACATTTCATTGGCCTGGCAGGGTCAGGTGCTGCTACGGGCCTTTCTGTATCAGCGTATGAGCTTAATGTAAGTATTTTACTCAGGGCATAGATGACATCTTACCTCTACCTAATAGGTAGATCGCAGGGGCATGTTGTATGAGTTTTAAAAGCCCTGCACTTTAAAAATAGAATGGTGGGGCCGGGCGTCGTGGCTCACACCTGTAATCCCAGCACTTTGGGAGGCAAGGTGGGCAGATCACAAGGTCAGGAGATCGAGACCATCCTGGCTAACATGGGGAAACCTCGTCTCTACTAAAAATACAATAAATTAGCCTGGCGTGGTGGCAGGCACCTGTAGTTCCAGCTACTCAGGAGGCTGAGGCCAGAGAATGGCCTGAGCCAAGATCGTGCCACTGCGCCCCAGCCTGGGTGACGGAGCGAGACTCTGCCTCAAAAAAGGAAAAAAAAAGAAGAAGAAGAAGAGGAGGAGGAGGAGGAAGAAGAAGAAGAAGAGGAGGAGGAGGAGGAGTGAGACTCCGTCTCAAAAAAAAAAAAAAAAAAAAAAAAAAAGAAAAAAAAAACACCAAACTCCAAAAAACCCCCCAAAAATAGTGGGTTGGGCACGATGACTCAGGCCTGTAATTCCAGCACTTTGGGAGGCCGAGGTAGGTGGATCATTTGAGGTCAGGAGTTTGAGACCAACCTGGCCAACACGGTGAGATCCCATCTCTACTAAAAATACAAAAATTAGCAAGGCTTGGTGGTACACGCCTGTAATCCTAGCTACTCAGGAGGCTGAGTCAGGAGAATCACTTGAACCTGGGAGATGGAGGTTGCGATGAGGTGAGATCGTGACACTACACTCTAGCCTGGGCAACAGAGTGAGACTATGTCTTAAAAAAAAAAAAAAAAATGGTGTGTGAAGAGGAGGGCTCAGAATTCCCCTCCTAGAGATGCAGAAGAAAGAAGGTATCGTGGAGACTGAAGCGTATTTCTATGTACTTTAGACATCAATCAACCATCGCAAAAATTTTATAGTTTAGTAGTTTTTGACTTTTTTGGCTACCTCTGGGATACCCAAGAGATAAGATACACTCTCCTATATAGCAGGGCTCATTTGGGATATGATTTTTACTGGGGTCAGGGCAGGGAGGGGATTATTAATAATGATCATTGCCTTCATAATGTCCAATATTTTTGGGATGCTTACTCTATGCCAGGAACAGACTTTGATACGTTACACACACTATCCCATTATAGGATTCATTTACAGATTGGACCCACACTGCCTAGGTTTACATTCTTGCTCCAACTCTTATAAACTTCAGCGGCAAGTGGCTTTTTGTGTGATCTTGGGTGGCAAGTGGTTTTTTGTTTTGTTTTTGTTTTTGTTTTTGTTTGAGACAGGGTCTCGCTCTGTCGCCCAAGCTGGAGTGCAGTGATGTGGTCACAGCTTACTGCAACCTCCACCTCCCAGGCTCAAACCATCTTCCCCTTCAGCCTCCCAAGTAGCTGGGACCACAGGTGCACGCCACCATGCCTAGCTAATTTTCATATTTTTTGTAGAGACGGGAATTTCACTGTGTTGCCCAGGTTGGTCTTGAACTCCTGGGTGCAAGTGATCTGCTGGTTTCTGCCTGCCAAAGTGCTGGGATTACAGGCGTGACTCACCGCACCCAGCTGGGCAAGTTTTTTAACCTCTCTGGGCCTCATGTACATAACAGGCATATTAATGGTACCTGCCATGTAGAATCATTATGAGGGTCAAATGAATTAATGCTTGTAAAGGGTGCAGAGAGGTGCCTGGCATACAGTACTTATTAAGTATCATCTCACTGATTTCCTTGCAACCACCTAGAAAGGCACTGATATGCCCATTTTCCACGTGAGAAAAATGAGTCTTGGAGACCTGTGTTAACTCTTGTGGTCGGTCTTTGAACCCAGGTCTGCCTGCTGTCACAGCCTTGTTGTAATCAGTGCCAAGGAAGGGAGGGGGCACAATGAAGCAATGACATGATGTTTAGGAGACACAGAACTAGGAAGCATCGCAAAAGGCTTTTTTTTCCACTCTCCTCTTCCTTCCTGAATCCGTTCTCCATGTTAAAAAAGGAAATATGAAGGTCAGCGCAGGTGAACCACTCAGCAAGTAAGAGACTACACCAGAGGTGGAGTTCAGGCCAGCCTGCTTCAGGGTGCAGAGGGAAATCCAAATGGGTACCTTGTAGTGAGCTGGGGGCCAAGTTCTGACTGTGTTTTCTTGAGCAGGGCTTGTTTTCCGTGCTGATGTTGGCCTGGATCTTCCTCCCCATCTACATTGCTGGTCAGGTGAGTCGGGGAACATTGGCATGCTGTATAATTGAAAGATGCTTTGGGAATCTCAGCCCTGCAGTCCCTCCCTCATCCCGCCATCCCTCCATCCTGCCCATGGTCATCCATCAGACTGCCACTCAAAGGCCCCAGTAAAGGGGAGGGATGATCCACAGGTGAGACAATGAGAAACCCGGTCCGTAGCACTTCCTGCCAGTAACCAACATCCAAGGCACAAAGAGGGCGTTTGGAGGTTGGAAAAACTATGGGCCCCCAAATTTTAACTACCAAAACACAAATGTAAAGCTCACACCCTCTTTTAAATGCTTAAATCACAATATGTTTCTGCTATATTTTTTTGAGACAGGGTTCTGGTTCTGTCCCCAGGATGGAATGCAGTGGTGCAATCTTGGCTCACCTGGTCTCACCAGCCTCCCCAGCAGCTAGGACCACAGACGCACGCCACCTCACCCAGCTAATTTATATATATATATATATATATATATATATATATATATATATATATTTTTTTTTTTTCCTAGTAGAAAATACAAAAACTCCACCATGTTACCCAGGCTGGTCTTGAACTCCTGGGCCCAAGTGATCTGCACACCTCAGCCTCCCAGTCTGACTAGCTGGAATTACAGGCATAAACCACGATGCCCAGCCTATGCCCTACTTTCTACTAAAAAATAAAAATAAAAATGAAAGTATATAGCTCATGCCTGTAATCCCAGCACTTTGGGAGGCCAAGGCAGGCTTGAGGCTAGGAGTTCGAGACCAGGCTGGGCAACATAGTGAAAACCTGTCTCTACTAAAAAAATACAAAATTAGCCAGGTATGGTGGTATGCACCCATAATCCCAGCTACTCAGGAGGCTGAGAAGCCATGAGAATTGCTTGAGCCTGGGAGGCGGAGGATGCAGTGAGCTGAGATCACACCACTGCACTCCAGCCTGTGTGACAGAGCGAGACCCTATCTCAATCATATATATATATATATTTTTTAAATCACATATATATTAAAAAATCATACATATAATTCAGTGATTTTTTTTCTTTCTTTGCACACAAAACTATAATAATTGAGCTATTTCTGTCTGGTACAAAATGTCAACATTTTAGTTACAAAATAATGCTGCTTTTGACTCTTTGAAAGCATTTTTTGCGGGTTGGTTTTTTTTTTTTTTTGACAGAGTTTTGCTCTTGCCCAGGCTGGAGTGCAGTGGCGCGACCTCAGCTCACTGCAAACCTCTGCCTCCCAGTTTCAAGCAATTCTCCTGCCTCAGCCTCCCAAGTAGCTGGGATTACAGGTGCCCACCACCACGCCCAGCTAATTTTTGTATTTTTAGTAGAGACAGGGGTTTCACCATGTTGGCCAGGCTAGTCTCAAACACCTGACCTTGTGATCCACCTGCCTTAGCCTCCCAAAGTGCTGGAATTACAGGCATGAGCCACTATGCCTGGCCTGAAAAGCAGTTTTTGAAAAATCATCTATGATCTCACTGGCAACATTGCATCATTCATATTTTCTTAATTCTGTTCTAGATGTTCTACTGCACGTGGCAAGATCACACAATATCACAGTGTTGTTCGTAAAGCAATAACTGATTTTAGCTTTTTATTATGGAAATGTTAAAAAATACACAAAGTAGGCTGGGCATGGTGGCTCATGTATGTAATCCCAGCACTCTGGGAGGCCGAGCTGGGTGGATTGCTTGAGGCCAGAAGTTCGAGACCAGCCTGGGCAACATGGAAAAATCCCATCTATACAAAAAATACAAGAATTAGCTGGGTGTGGTGACACACACCTATAGTCTCAGATACTCAGGAGGCTGAGGCAGGAGGATTAGGATCACTTGAGCCCGGTAGGTTGAGGCTACAGTGAGCCATAATTGTGCCACAGCACTCCAGTCTGGGGGACAGAATGAGACCCTATCTCAAATACACACACACACACACGTGCGCACACGCACAAAGTAAAAAAAGCTTGGGAATCAGAAATCGTGTTAAAAATCCCTCAGGCTGGGTGCAGTGGCTCACGCCTGTAATTCCTGCACTTTGGGAGGCCAAGGAGGAAGAATCACTTGAGTCCAGGATTTCAAGACCAGCCTGGGCAACATAGCAAGACCTCATCTCTACTAAAATTTTTTTTTTTTTAATTAGCCGGGCCTGGTGGTGAGTGCCTGTGGTCACAGCTACTCGGGAGGCTGAAGTGGGAGGAACACTTGAGCCCAGGAGTTGGAAGTTGCAGTGAGCTATGATCACGCCACTGCAGTCCAACCTGAGTGACAGAGAATAGCAATTCTGTGTTAACGGCAGGGGTATATGGGTAAGTAACCTCCCTTGGAGGTAATCCCAAAAGTCTAAAATGCAAGACCTTTGGTGAGCAGGGGGCCTGGGTCTGCTGCTGACCCCTGTGGCTAGGTCCCATGTAGACAGAGCATCTGAGGTATAACAATACTAGACTGGAAATGAAGACCTCCGGGTCAATGCATCAAGAAAGTTATTGAGCGCCTGCTACGGGAAGGCATATGTGATGGTAGAGATGCAAGTAAGTGAATATTTAGGGTTGCCAAACATTCTCACCTGATGGCTTCCATTTTCTCTGGCAAACAGAAGATAATGTCACCAGCTGAGAGTGAGAAAGGAACTTGTGAAGCTTTAGGTTGAGAAGATGCAAAGTTTGTTGTTTTTGTTTTATTTTGTTTGTTTGTTTTGAAATGGAGTCTTGCTCTGTCACTCAGGCTGGAATGCAGTGGCATGATCTCAGCTCACAGCAAGCTCCACCTCCCGGGTTCAAGCAATTCTCTGCCTCAGCCTCCCAAGTAGCTGGGATTACAGGCACCCGCCGCCATGCCCGGCTAATTTTTGTATCTTTAGTAGAGACGGGGTTTCACCATGTTGGTCAGGCTGGTCTCAAACTCTTGACCTCGTGATCCACCCATCTCAGCCTCCCAAAGTGCTGGGATTACAGGCACGAGCCACTGTGCAGGCCAGATGCAGAGATCTGAAATGGCTGCAGTAGTTGTTTGTAATAGAAAAACCTGGGAACAACCACCATGTCCATTAACAGGGAACTGGACGGCCAGGCTATACTACTTCATGCTGTGACAAGGGATGAAGTCCATAGAGGCATGCTAATCTACAAGCTATTTTTTTCAAGCTATTGTTAAATAAGAAAATAAAATCTCCTTGATCTACACATCCTTTGGGCAATATCTTACACATACACAAAGGAGAGGTTAAACCCAACCTAGATAATAAATGCCAAAGTGTTGAGAAAAGTTTAAAAGCGACCCAATTTGTTTTTATTAGGACATGAAATAAGCACTCAGAAAAGCAATGAAACGCGCGCGCACACACACACACACACACACACAACAAACACAAAAATGCAACCTGACAGATTATTGTTAAAGGAACACCCACATCAAGACAGAAAACAATGTCAGCCTGGTGCGGTGGCTCATGCCTGTAATCCTAGCACTTTGGGAGCCTGAGGTGGGCAGATCACTTGAGGTCAGGAGTTTGACCAGCCTGGCTAACATGGTGAAACCCTGTCTCCACTAAAAATACAAAAATTAGCCAGGCGTGGTGGCGGGCGCCTGTAGTTCCAGCTACTCAGGAGGCTGAGGTGGGAGAATTGATTGAACCCAGGAGGCTGAGTGAAGTAAGCCAGTATCACACTACTGCACTCCTGCCTAGCTGACAGAGCGAGACTCCGTCAGAAGGAAAAGAAAAGAAAAGAAAAGAAGAGAAAGGAAAGGAAACGAAAGGGGAAGAAGGAAGGGAGGAAGGAAGGGAGGGAGGGAGGGAGGGAGGAAGGAAGGAAGGAAGGAAGGAAGGAAGGAAGGAAGGAAGGAAGGAAGGAAAAAAAAACTGCCACTGCATGCCACCACCACTTTTTACCCACTGCCAGAAAGAAGAAGAAAGGGTGTGGTCGTGGTATTTTGGGAGGTCACCCAATGCTGGCTGGGCGCAGTGGCTCAAGGCCAGCTCTTTGGAAGGCTGAGGTGGGAGGATTCTTGAAGCCAGGAGTTTGAGACCAGCCTGGCCAGCATGAAGGAAGGAAGGAAGGAAGGAAGGAAGGAAGGAAGGAAGGAAGGAAAGGAAGGAAGGAAGGAAGGAAGGAAGGAAGGAAGGAAGGAAATATAAAGTCCCTTGCAAGCCTTTAGAAAGTCACAATGCTGGCTGGGCACAGTGGCTCAGGCCCAGCTCTTTGGAAGGCTGAGGTGGGAGGATTGCTTGAAGCCAGGAGTTTGAGACCAGCCTGGCCAACATAGTGACACCCCCCATCTCTACCAAAACAATTAAAATAAGGAATTAGCTGAGACCGGTGGTGTGTACCTTTAGTCCCAGCTAGTCAGGAGGCTGAGGCAAGAGGATGGGAGACTGAAGCAGGAAGATCGATTGCTTGAACCTAGGAGATCAGGGTTACAGTGAGCTATGATCGTAGCACTGCACTCCAGCCTGGGTGACACAGCGAGACCCTGTCTCTAAAAAAGAAAAATCACAAGGCCTTCCTCTCTCTTTGGCTTTCCTATTAAGTAATTACTTCCTTGCTTTTCTTTTTTTTTTTTTTTTTTTTGAGACGGAGTCTCGCTCTATCGCCCAGGCTGGAGTGCAGTGGCCGGATCTCAGCTCACTGCAAGCTCTGCCTCCCGGGTCCACGCCATTCTCCTGCCTCAGCCTCTGGAGTAGCTGGGACTACAGGCGCCCGCCACCTCGCCCGGCTAGTCTTTTTTGTATTTTTCAGTAGAGACGGGGTTTCACCGTGTTAGCCAGGATGGTCTCGATCTCCTGACCTCGTGATCCACCCGTCTTGGCCTCCCAAAGTGCTGGAATACAGGCTTGAGCCGCCGCACCCGGCCCCTCCTTGCTTTTCTTTACAGTTTTAATTCTGCATACCTGAACAGTATAGTTGAATTTTACTTTTTTTGCTGAAGGGTGGGTTATAGATAATTGAAAACTGGAGTAATTTTTTTCTTTTATTTTGAGGCAGAATCTCGCTCTGCTGCCCAGGCTGGAGCGCAGTGGCGTGATCTCAGCTCACCGCAACATCTGCCTCCTGGGTTCAAGCAATTCTGCCTCAACCTCCCAAGTAACTGGGATTACAGGCGGACACCACCACGCCTGACTAATTTTTGTATTTTTAGTAGAGATGGGGTTTCCCCGTGTTGGCCAGGCTGGTCTTGAACTCAGGTGATCCACTCGGCTCAGCCTCCCAAAGTGTTGGGATTACAGGTATGAGCCACTGCACCCAGCTTGGAGTAATATTCTTTTGTTACATGTAGCTGGTGTGTTAATTTTCATTGCTATGCGGTATCGTGTAGTATGACTCACATCCCAATATGTTTATCCATTCTGTTTTTTGTGGGCATTCAAGTTGCTCCCAGTATTGGTCTGTGACAGACAGCACTGCTGTGAGCATTTTTATAAATGTGTTCTTCTGCACATAAACATGTACTGATGAGAAAATCTACCTATGAGTGGAATTTCTAGGTCCTTGGATATGTTCATCTTTGGCTTTACAATATTTTGACAAACATTTTCCCGGAGTAGTTCTATCCATTCATATTCCCACCAACAGCATATGAAAATTCCCTTTCCTGAAATTCACTGTATCCTTGGTGACATTTTATATTCTCCAACTTAAAGATTCTTGTGAATTTGGTGCATGTGTAGTGATATCTCACTGCTTTTTAGAATTTTTGAGACAGAGTCTCGCTCTGTCGCCCAGGTTGGAGTACAGTGGCATGCCCTCAGCTCACTGCAACCTCTGCCTACCTGGGTTCAAGTGATTCTTGATTCTCCTGCCTCGCCCCGTCCACCGCCACACACACTGCCCCAGTAGCTGGGACTACAGCCACCAAGCCCAGCTAATTTTTGTATTTTTAGTAGAGACGGGGTTTCGCCAAGTTGGCCAGGCTGGTCTCGAACTCCTGACCTCAGATGATCCTCCCACCTCGCCTCCCAAAGTGCTGGGATTACAGGTATGAGCCACCGCACCTGGCCGTCTCACTGTTTTTAATTGGCAACTCTTTTTATACATTTTCCGGCCATTTGGATTTCCTCTTTGAGGAAGTAACTTGTCTAGGACTTTTGCCCATTTTTCTACTAGGTTATATGTCTTTAAAAAAATAATAGAGATGGGGTCTTACTGTAGCAATAGAGATGTTGCCCAGGCTGGTGTTGAACTCCTGGGCTCGAGTGATCCTCCCACCTTGGCCTCCTAAAGTGCTGGATTACAGGTGTGAGCCATCGTGCACAGCCTCACAATTAAATCTATTATCCACCTAGACTTTATTTTTGTCTAACATATGTATATTTTTTGTGGCAGGGTCTCCCGGTCACTTAGGCTAGAGTGCAATGGCATGATCACGGCTCGCTGCACCCTCAACCTCCTGGGCTCAGGCTCAAGCGATCCTTCCACCTCAGCTACCTGAGTAGCTGGGACTACAGGCACCTGCCACCACACATGACTAAATTTATATTTTTTGTAGAAATGAGGTTTCACCGTGTTGCCCAGGCTGGTCTCAAACTCCTGCACTCAAGTGATCCTCTTGCCTCAGTTTCCCAAAGTGATGGGAACCAGCTGCGCTGGGCCCCTCTCCTCCCTTCTTAAGTATCAGATTGAGAATCTCAGGAAGACCACCTGTGCTCTGAGTTGCAGGGGCAGGAGCAGATGGGAAGGGCTGGTGTGGGGGAGGTCACGTGCTGGTGGTGAAGTCAGCTGGTGGTGAAATCTCAGCTCTGGCCCTCAGGTCACCACGATGCCGGAATACCTACGGAAGCGCTTCGGTGGTGTCAGAATTCCCGTCATCCTGGCTGTACTCTACCTATTTATCTACATCTTCACCAAGATCTCGGTAAGGTGGGGACAGAGCCTGGCCACACCCATGCAGCATGGGGAGAAGATAAGGCACAGCTCTCTGCTCGGGAGTGTCTCCTCCCTATTCCCTTTCTCCTCCTCTTTTGTAGGCTGCAGGGAGGTTAGAGGAAGATGGGATGTGGGGAGGTAAGCGTGGACAGAGGAAAGTGGGAGAAAACGGTCGGGTGCAGTGGCCCATGCCTGTCATCTCAGCACTTTGGGAGGCTGAGGCGGGTGTATCACTTAAGGTCAGGAGTTTGAGGCCAGTCTGGCCAACATGGCGAGACCCCATCTCTACCAAAAAATATGAAAATTAGCCGGGCGTGGTGGCTCATGCCTGTAGTCCCAGCTATTCGGGAGGCTGAGGCAGGAGAATTGCTTGAGCTGGGGAGGCGGAGGTTGCAGTGAGCCGAGATCACACCACTGCACTCCAGCCTGGGTGAAAGAGCGAGACTCTGTGTCAAAAAAAAAAAAAAAAAAAAAAAAAGAAATTCGGAGAAAAGGTAGAGGAAAGGAGGGAAGGACTTTCTCTCCTACTCCTGCCAAAACTTTTTTGTCAACATCTCAGGATGGTGTGGGTTGATCAATGGGACTCCAAGAACCCTGCCAACCCTTGGATAGGACTGTTCTCTTCCTTCTGGAATTAGATGGTGATCAACTGTTTATCAGATGTGCTGATGGCTGATTGTGCCTGCCGCACCCTGACCTTTGGATAGGCAGATCTCCTAGGAAGTGGCAAAGAACAGGTGTATTGCATCCTCCAGACACGTGCCCCTCAGCAGAAGCTGTCTTCGCTTCCAGCCAGGGAGGAGGGAGGAGCTTGTCCTATGGGAAGTGGTGAGGGGGGAGCAGAAGAGGTTCCATTCAATCCAAATAACAATAAGTGAATCTACGCCAGCTCCAGACTGCAGGACAGACACACAGGCTCCTTACTAGAATGTTCACTTGCAGTCTGGTGGGAAGCTACAGAGGTGGGAAGCCTTCTAGGGGAAGTGACATTCCAGGAGGAACTTACAGTTAGAGAAAGGGGACTGGCCCTCCAGACGGATGCACCAGCACAAGCGAAATCTAGGAGGCCCAGGCACACATGACTTATTGAGAAACAGACGGTATTTCAGAGTCTGTGGAGGTCTGGGAGTATGAAGTGGGTATTTAGCCTCATTTGTTTAGCCTTTATCTTGGGGGCAATGGGGGAGTTACTTAAGAGTTTGAGTGGGGAGGAGGAGGATGATGTGACCATGATGGTATTTAATGAAGGTTGCCATGTGGAAGATGGAGTGGGAGAGGACCAAAAGCAGAAGCAGAAAGATCATTGAGGAGGCTGCTGCATCAGCCCAAGGTCTGCAGGGCTCCAGTTTAAGACCCCTGATCTGGGATGCAATGGATGAAGAAGGGATGATGTGTGACTCTTCTGTGTTTGTCAGCATCTAGGCTAGGCCCTGATTCCAGGGAACCTGGGCTGCAAATGTCCATTCATTCATTCATTCATTCATTCATTTGTTCATTAATTCATTTGTTCATCCATCAACCTCCTTTCTCCACAGGTAGACATGTATGCAGGTGCCATCTTCATCCAGCAGTCTTTGCACCTGGATCTGTACCTGGCCATAGTTGGGCTGCTGGCCATCACCGCTGTATACACGGTTGCTGGTAAGACTGAACAAAGGGTAACACCTGGCAGAGGTGGTGGGCAGGGGCTGTGGGCCACTCTACCTTTTCCTTGCCCATCTTCTGATGTTCCATTGTGCTAAGACCCATTTATTCATTAAACGTCACTCCTTTACTTTAGATAAAAAGATTTCTCCTGACCACTATCCAAAGGAAGGGGGTTACCTGATAAGATAAAGCATTTTAGGTCAGGCGAGGTGGCTCATGCCTGTAATCCCAGCACTTTGGGAAGTCGAGGCAGGTGGATCACTTGAGGTCAGGAATTCCAGACCAGCCTGGCCAACATGACAAAACCCCATCTCTACTAAAAACACAAAAATTAGGCCAGTCGTGGTGGCTCACGCCTGTAATCCCGGCACTTTGGGAGGCCGAGGCGGGTGAATCACGAGGTCAGGAGTTCAAGACCAGCCTGACTTACATGGCAAAACCCCCTCTCTACTAAAAATACAAAAATTAGCCAGGCGTGATGGCCTGTGCCTGTAATCCCAGCTACTCAGGAGGCCGAGGCAGGACAATTGCTTGAACCTGGGAGGCGGAGGTTGCAGTGAGCCGAGATCGCACCACTGCACTCCAGCCTGGGTGACAGAGCGAGACACCATCTCAAAGAAAAAAAAAAAAAATTAGCCAGGTGTGCTGGCAGACTCCTGTAATCCCAGCTACTTGGGAAGCTGAGGCAGGAGAATTGCTTGAACCCGGGGGGCGGGGGTTGCAGTGAGCCAAGATAGTGCCATTGCCCTCCAGCCTGGGTGACAGAGCGAGACTCCATCTCAGAATAAAAAAAGATAAAGCATTTTTAAAATGCACCACAATGGCATAATGTTTTTTCCCATTCATGTATCCCAGAACTGTTTCTTGAGCACCTACTAACTGCTGAGCCATGTGCATTCACAGGCACAATACAGGCTGGATAATAAACTACTGCAATCCTGGAGCCTGAGGGCAGGTAACCTCATCTCTCCCCCTCATACCTGTGTCCTAGAAGAGTGCCTGGCACGCAGTAGGGCCTTGAGAAGCACTTGCTTTTAAATATTCATTATCTCATCTTCCACTCTATTTTCACCCTTCTCTGCCTCCTCTTGGTGTAATTTAACTCATTCCATATGTATGTGTGTGTCTGTGTGTGCCTGTGTGTGCACAGACAAAACATACTGTATCTATATATCATGCTGGTATCTGGTATCTATATATTATGTATATAGTATTATACATAATGGTATCTATATATTCTGGTATCTATATATTATGGTATCGACATATTATGGTATATAATACTGTATCTATATATTATGTACCTTGCATCTATATATTATATATTTACATATACAGGTATGTGTATATGGATATACATTTCCTACTGTGTGCCAGGGAGTGAGGCACAGGTGTAAACAAGACAAATCTCTCTACTCTGGAGGAACTCATTAAGTGAGGATGGGAGACAATGAACAGGGAAATCAATAAATAATGTCAGGCCGGGCGCGGTGGCTCACATCTGTAATCCCAACACTTTGGGAGGCCGAGGTGGGTGGATCACCTGAGGTCAGGAGTTCTAGACCAGCCTAGTCATCGTGGTGAAATCCCGTTTCTACTAAAATTACCAAAAAATCAGCTGGGCATGATGGCACACGCCTGTAATCCCAGCTACTCGGGAGGCTGAGGCAGGAGAATCACTTGAAGTTAGGAGGCGGAGGTTGCAGTGAGCCAAGATCGCACCACTGCCCTCCAGCCTGGGCAACAGAGTGGAACTCTGTCTCAAAAATAAATAATTAAATATATCAGTGTATATTATTATAACCTGATAAGTGCTATAAGGAAAAATTAATTAGGGTGAAGAGATGGAGGAAAGGTTCTTTTTTTTTCTTTTTTTTTAACATAGAATATTCAGGTAAGGCCTTTCTAAGGTGATATCTCAACCAACTTTTTTTCACCTTTGACTTTTATTTTAGATTCAGGAGGTACATGCAGGTTTGTTAATGGGTACATTACATGATGCTGAGGTCTGGGGTACAAATGGATCCATTAGCCCAGGTAGTGAGCAGAGTACCCAGTAGGTAGTTTTTCAACCAGTGTCCTCCTCCCTCTCTCCCCCCTCTAGTAGTTCCCAGTTCCCTTATTCAAGTCCATGAGTACCCAATGTTTATTCAGTTTCCATTTATAAGTGAGAACAGGCGTGGTGGGCCAGGCGTGGCGGCTCACTCCTGTAATCCCAGCACTTTGGGAGGCCAAGGTGGGAAGATCACCTGAGGTCAGGAGCTCCTGGCCAACATGGTGAAACCCCTTCTCTACTAAAAGTACAAAAATTAGCTGAGTGTGGTGGCGGGCACCTGTAATCCCAGCTATGCGGAAGGCTGAGGCAGGAGAATCGCTTGAACCCAGGAGGCAGAGCTTGCAGTGAGCATAGATCGCACCACTGCATTCCAGCCTGGGCAACAGAGCAAGACCCCATCTCAAAAAAGTAGATAAATAAATGAATAAGTGAGAACATGCGGTATTTGGTTTTCTGGTCCTGCATTAATTCACTTAGGATAAGGGCCTCCAGCTGCATTCAGGTTGGGCTGCAAAGGTTATGATTTTGTCCTTTTTAATGGCTGTGTAGTATTTCATGGTGTATCTGTACCGTATTTTCTTCATCCAGTCCGCTGTGGATGGGCACCTGTGTCAATTCCACGTATTTGCTGTTGTGCATAGTGTCGTGATGGACATATGAGGGATGTGTCTTTTTGGTAGGATGATTTCTTTTCCTTTGGGTACATACTCAGTAGAGGGGTTGCTGGTCAAATTCTCAGTTCGATTCTCAGTTCTCTCTCCACAGTGGCTGAACTAATTTACACTTTGTATTAGTCAATTCTCACACTGCTATAAAGAACTACCTGAGACTGGATAATTTATGGGAAAAAAAAAAAGAGGTTTAATTGACTCACACTTCCACAGGCTTAACAGGAAGCATGGCTCGGAGGCCTCAGGAAACTTACAGACACGGTGGAAGGCAAAGGGGAAGTAAGCACGTCCTACCGTGATAGAGCCGGAGAGAAAGAGTGAAGGGGAAGGTGCCACACACTTTTTTTTTTTTTTGTGGGGGATGGAGACTTACTCTTTCGCAGCTGGACTGCAATGGTGTGATCTCAGCTCACCGTAACCTCCACCTCCTGGGTTCAAGTAATTCTCCTCCTCAGCCTCCCAAGTAGCTGGGATTACAGGCACCTGCCACCATGCCCAGCTAATTCTGTGTTTTTAGTAGAGATGGAATTCCTCCATGTTGGTCAGGCTGCTCTCGAACCCCAAAGCTCAGGTGATCTGCCTGCCTCGGCCTCCCAAAGTGCTGGGATTACAGACGTGAGCCACCGCGCCTGGCCTAGTGCTACACACTTGGAAACAACCAGCTCTCATGAGAACTCTATCACCAGACAGCGCTGGGGGATGGTGCTGAACCATTAAAATCACCCCCATGATCCGATCACCTCCCACCAGGACCCTCCCCTAACATGCGGGGATTACAATTCAACGTGAGATTTGGGTGGGGACACAGAGCCAAACCATATCACACTCCCACCGACAGTGCATCAGCATTCCCTTTTCTCCACAACCTCGCCAACATCTGTTATGTGTTGACTTCTTAACTGGTTTTAACTGTTTAAAGCTGTTCTGGCCAGGCATAGTGGCTCACGCCTGTAATCCCAGCACTTTGGGAGGCCAAAGCAGGAGGATTACCTGAGGTCAGGAGTTCGATACCAGCCTGGCCAACATGGTGAAACCCCATCTCTACTAAAAATACAAAAAAATTAGCCGGGCGTGGTGGCAGGCACCTGTAATCCCAGCTACCGGGGAGGCTGAGGGAGGACAATTGCTTGAACCCTTGAGGCAGAGGCTGCAGTGAGCTGAGATCGTGCCACTACACTCCAGTCTGAGTGACAGAGTGAGACTCCATCTCAGAAAAAAAAGAAAATTTTAAAAAAAGAAAGAAAAAAGCTGTTCTGGCTAGTGTGAGATGATATCTCGTTGTGGTAGTGATTTTTTTTTTTCTTTTTTTGAGACAGGGTCTCCCTCTATTGCCAAGGCTGGAGTGCAGTGGTGCAATCTTGGCTCACTGCAACCTCCATCTCCCAGGTTCAAGTGATTCTCCTGCCTCAGCCTCCCGAGTAGCGGAGACTACAGGTGCCAGTCACCGTGCCCGGCTAATGTTTGTAATTTTTGGTAGAGACAGGATTTCACTGTGTTGGCCAGGTTGATCTTGAACTCCTGGCCTCAAGTGATCCGCCTGCATCAGTGTCCCAAAATGATGGAATTACAGATGTGAACCACTGCACCTGGCCTGTGATCTGCATTTTTTTGATGATTAGTGATGATGAGCATTTTTCCATATCTCAGCCAAGTTTAAATAACACCCACCAGCAATGCAGAGGAGGAGAATTCCAGACTGAGGGAAGGGCTGCAGTAAAGACTCTGAGATGAGAGCCTGCCTGAGCAAATGGTTATGCAGGCTGTGTCCTTTTCCACTCCAGGTGGTGCCGTTCACACCAACCAGAGCACTGTGCTAAGCAGCAACCCTGGTGGTGAGAGTGGGATTGGAGAAAAGGGCAGGGACCAGAGCTTTGAAGGAAACAAAATAAGCCTAGCATTTGTTCTAAGTGCCATGGAATACCATTGGATGCTCTAAACAGAAAATTGACAAAATCTAACATATGCAAAGTCCCCTGATACAGAAAGACCTTGGCTGAGTTCTCAGAACTAGCAGAAGCAATGTGCCTGGGACAGGGGGAAAGGGGAGGGCAGGCTGCCACAGCGGATGAATGTTGGTGTTCCTTGTTTGGAGGTCTGTGTTCCCCATTAGACTGTAGGCTCTCTGAGGGCAGGGAACATGCCATTTTGTTGGCCTCTGCATCCCTACCATATAGAACTTGGTGGTGAGCTCACCGGCTATTTGGTGAAAGACTGAACAAAATGCTCCCCACAGTGCCTGGCATAAGAGAGACCCTCATCACTGTTAATATAGAAAGGATGGTAGGGTTAAGTGGTACCCAACACCAGGACCTCACCACACTCAGGCTGACTCACTGCATGAGTGAATGGCAGGGAACTGGGGCCAGAATCAAAGCCAGGTCTCCTCCCCTTGGTGAGAGAGCCCTATTCTTGCTGGCAAGGAAGGAGGGATCCCGGAGAGCACCACACCCACGGGCGCAGGGTTTTAAAATTGTACAGTGACTGTGCCCTCTAGTAGACATGTTTCTACGCATAAGTGTCCCTTCTCCTCAGGGAAGGAAGAAGAACAGAGGTTTAAGGAAGAAGAACAGAGGTTTAAGGAAGAAGAACAGAGGTTTAAGGAAGAAGAACAGAGGTTTAAGGAAGAAGAACAGAGGTTTAAGGAAGAGACTGGAAAGATTGCTCTGTCCACATGCGAATGGATTTGCTACCAGTATCATCATTCGGAAGATTTTTTTTTTTTTTTTTTTGATTAAAGCTTTGATAAGTCTTGCTTTGTTGCCCCGGCTGGGGCGCTGTGGGCTAACTGCAACCTCTGCCTCCTGGGTTCAAGTGATTCTCCTGTCTCAGCCTCCCGAGTAGCTGGGACTAGAGGCATGCCCCACCACGCCTGGCTAATTTTTGTATTTTTAGTAGTGACGGAGTTTCACCATGTTGGTTGATCTCAAACCCCTGACCTCAGGTGATTCGGCTGCCTCAGCCTCCCAAAGTGCTGGGATTACAGGCGTGGGCCACCGCGCCCAGCCCATTTAGAAGATTTTTGCAGGTGGCAAACTCAACAAGAATCCTCTGAGGCACCACCATGATTCTCTTCAGGAAGTCTAGGGGGCCTCTGAATCCCTAACACTCACATCCTTTATCCAACCTTAAAAATAAAGATGTTGACTGGGTGTAGTTGCTTACACCTGTATCCCAGCACCTTGGGAGGCCGAGGCAGGAGGACTGCTTGAGCCAGGAGTTTGAGCCCACCCTGGGCAACATAGCAAGACTCCATCTAGAGAAAAAATTTAAAAATTAGCTGGGCGTGGTGGCTCACGCCTATAGTCCCAGCTACTTGGGGGACTGAGACGAGAGAATCACCTGGGCCCAGTAGGTCTAGGTTGCAGCAAGTTACGATTATGCCACTATACTCCAGCATGGGTTGACAGAGTGAGACCCTGGCTCTGAAAAATAAATAAATAAATAAATAAATAAATAAATAAATAAAGGTATTCAGAGCTTGGGGACTGTGGCCCAAGCACCACTTCTTGTATCAGTTGAAAATTGCTAGCCAGGTGCGGTCGTTCACGCCTGTAATCCCAGCACTTTGGGAGGTCGAGGCGGGCGGATTAGGAGGTCAGGAGATGGAGACCATCCTGGCAAACACAGTGAAACCCTGTCTCCACTAAAAATACAAAAAAATTAGCCGGGCGTGGTAGTGGGCACCTGTAGTCCCAGCTACTAGGGAGGCTGAGGCAAGAGAATGGCGTGAACCTGGGACGCGGAGCTTGCAGTGAGCCAACATCGTGCCACTGCACTCCAGCCTCGGTGACAGAGCCAGACTCCGTCTCAAAAAAAAAAAGAAAAAGAAAAATTTGCTGTGTTAAAAAAAACACTCTCAAATTGAGGGGCTTGAAAAACCAATGGTTTATTATTCCCCAGAAGTCCATGGGTTCCCTGGGTGGATGTGTGCTGGTCTCACCTGGCTCTGTGAACTATAGTTCGGTGGCAGGTGGAGCAGCTGGCTGGAAGAGGATGGCCTCACTCGTATGGCTGGTGTTAGCTTGGGCTGTCGACTGGGCTTCCCCTCCATGGGGGCCCTCTTCCTCCATTAGGTTAGGCTGGGCTTCTTAAAGCAAATGGTCTCAGGGCAACAGGAGAGTAAGTACAGAAGCTGCAGGGACCCCCGAGGTCCATACCACTTCCCCCACATTCTATTGGTCAAAGCAAGTCACATGGCCAAGCCCGTGTGAGAAGTAGAGACATCAACTTCACTTCATCACGAAAGGAGCAGCAAAGTCACGTTGCAAAATGGGCGTGCACACAGGGAGGAGTGATCGTGGCCATCTTTGCAATCAATCATCACTAAGAAATCTCCCATCAGGTCCTGGCCTTCCAGGTTCCCTTGGGAACCCAGAGTAATCCCTTTTCATCAGACTCCCTGTGTTCATCCCACCAGGTGGCCTGGCTGCTGTGATCTACACGGATGCGCTGCAGACACTGATCATGCTTATAGGAGCGCTCACCTTGATGGGCTACAGTAAGTGGGGTCCCCGGGTCACTTGGGTGGAGGACAGCCCCTCTCTCCAGCAGGGATATCTGCTCTCAACACAGTGAATGGCAAACCCAGCTGTCAAAGAGCAGACTGCTGGGGAATTTTTGTCAGAGGTGCTTGGTTTGAAGCACGGTTATTTTAGCTAGAAGAGAACTGTGCTTATTGTGGAAACTTACTGTTTTTGTTTTCATTTTTTTGTTTTGAGACAGGGTCTTGCTCTGTCAGTCAGGCTGGAGTGCAGTGGTGTGATCACAGCTCACTGCAGCCTTGAGCTCCTGGGCTCCAGTGACTCTCCCACCTCAGCCTCCTGAGTAGCTGGGACTACAGGTGTAGGCCACTATGTCCAGCTAATTGTTTTTTTTCTTTTTGTTTTTTGTAGAGATAGAGTCTCACTATGTTGCCCAGGCTGATCTCAAACTCTTGATCTCAAGTGATCCTCCTGCCTCAGCCTCCCAAAGCCGCCCCACCTGGCACTGTTTTTTTTTTTTTTAAGTAAAAATTAATATCTTTCCATACTAATATGGAAAAATAACTGAGTGAATAAAGAAAAGAATGTGTAGAGACAGCTTTTCCTTACAGAGGTTTTTGTTGTTGTTTGTTTCGAGACAGGATCTCACTCTGCCACCTAGGCTGAAGTGCAGTGATACGATCTTGGCTCACTGCAACCGCTGCCTCCTGGGCTCAAGAGATCCTCCCACCTCAGCCTCCCAAGTAGCTGGGCCCACAGGTGTGCACCACCACTCCCGGCTAATTTTTTTCATTTTTTTTAATAGATGGGGTTTCACCATGTTGCCCAGGCTGGTTTCAAACTCCTGGGCTCAAGCAGTCCACCTGCCTTGGCCTCCCAAAGTGCTGAGATTATAGGCGTGAGCCACTGCATGCAGCCTACAGAAGCTTTAAACTCTAGCACTAGCCCACACCTAGACTTTAGCAATTTGTTTCAAAATATTCGCCCAATTCTTCGTACCAGCTTGTATGGTGATCCTGTCTTTCTTTGTTTTGCTGCCAATGGTCATGTCTCTTTGGAGGCTCCTGTGTTTTCTGAGATCTCAGGCTAGTTGGTTGCTCTATGGCCTCACCTCTCTGATAGGTTCAAGGGAAGTTATAATTTTGTAGATTAGCCAACTTCTTATTATTGTTAAGGGGGGGAACACTACTCTTCACAGGTTTCTATCTTTTAGAGGTAAGCCACTCATTAAGCCTTAAAGACTACAACAAAAGCCAAGTGTGGTGGTTCACACCTGTAATCCCAGCACTTTGGGAGGCCAAAGCAAGAAGATCACTTGAGCTCAGGAGTTTGAGACCAGCCTGAGCAACATAGTGAGACTGTGTCTCTACAAAAAATAAACATAAACTTAGCCGGGTGTGGTGGCATGTGCCTGTAGTCCCAGCTACTTGACAGGCTGAGGTGGGAGGATGGCTTGAGCCTGGAAGGTTGAGGCTGCAGTGAGCTGAGATTGTGCCACTACACTCCAGCCTGGCCAACAGAGCGAGACCCTGTCTCAAAAAAAAAAAAAAAAAAAAAGGCTATGAAAACTAATATAGAAAACACAGAAAAGCAAAAGGGATCATAATCCTGAAAGATGGCAGAATATAGTGCTGACAATTATATATTTTAGGACTCAGAAGAAAATATTAGAAGAGTGCCATGCTTGGAATCCTGAACTCTATGAAACATGTATGAAAGATAGAAGTAGAGGACAAACTGAGATGAAGGGAGAATAGAAGCGGATAAAAAGGAAAAAGATTAGAGAAGATTACAACACATTTTCTAAAATTTTCTTAAAAAATTAGCAGAATTAAACTCCCCACAGGAGGATGTAAAGAGCAGAACAAATGCTAAAGAAAATCAAACCCAGGATGAAAACAAATAGGAGTTTTGTTTTTTTTTTAGACGGAGTCTTGCTCTGTCACCAGGCTGGAGTGCAGTGGCATGATCTTGGCTCACTGCAACCTCCACCTCCCAGGTTCAAGCGATTCTCCTGCCTCAGCTTCCTGAGTAGCTGGGACTACAGACATGCGCCACCATGCCCAGCTAATTTTTGTATTTTTAGTAGAGATGGGGTTTCCCCATGTTCGCAGGGATGGTCTCGATCTCTTGACCTCGTCATCTGCTGGCCTCAGCCTCCCAAAGTGCTGGGACTACAGGCATGAGCCACTGCTCCCAGCTGAAAATAAGTAGGAGTTCTAATAAAATGCAGATAAAAGGGATAAATAATAAAATTATAAAAGAAAAGATGACAAATATAGAAGAGAGCAGAGATATACCATTTGAGAAATGTTTATTCTTTTTCTTTTTTTTCTATTTTTTTTCTGAGATATGTTTATTCTTAGAAAAAAGATCAGAAAAAAATGGAACAAAGTAAATAAATTAATCACAAAGGAAAACTTTTCTTAGAAGGAGGATGATATATCTAGCTAGGTGTAAAGGGTTTGCTGTGTGTTAGGCAAAATCAATGAATGAGATCTCCAGGTAGATGCATTATGAACAAAATGTGAAGTATAGAATAATTTTTAAATACTAAAGAATACAGAGAGATGGGAAGATCATTTGAGGCCAGTAGTTTGAGACCAGCCTGGACAACAAAGCGAGACCCCACTCTATGAAAAATGGAAAATTAGCTGGGTATGGTGGTGCACACCTGTGGTCTCAGGTGGGGACCGTAGGATCAGGGAGCTTGAGGAGGTTGAGGCGGGAGGATCACTTGAGCCCAGGCGCTCGAGGCTGCAGTGAACTATGATTGCACCACTGCACTCCAGCATGGGTGACAGAGTGAGACTCTGTATAAGAAAAAAAGAACCCAGACAGAAAAAATGTAGTGAGCTAAAAATAATAAAACAAACTGGTCTCATTCCCCTCCTTCATAACAATAAAATGCCAAAAGACAGTGGAGCAAAGGCTACAGATGTGTTTTATGGGAAAAGCAGTATCCTAAGTAAGGATCGGATACCCAGCCAAGTGCCCTGTTTACCAGGGCTGCAGAAATATTCTGAACTATGCAAGGACTTAGTAAAAGGAGGACCTACGTGCCTGTCTTGAAGATACAAGAGAGAAACAAAATCGAGAGTTGGTATAATGACTCAAGAGAAAATGGTAGTAAATAATGATCCAGTTGAAATTGTTACAGATCTGAAAAATTGTCTGGTCAAGGCAATGTTACATAAAGAGTATAACAATTTAATAAAAATTGGATCTAAAACCCTGTTTTACTAACAAAAACTTTAAAATGTTGGGAGAGATAGTATGCTACATTTCCCATCAAATAGGAAGAAAAACATCATGAAGAAGAAATACTGAATTCCAAGCAGACACTCATATAAATCTAACCCTTTATATAGGAAATATGTGTGTATAAGTTTTTTTTTTTCTTAAAAGAGAATAACAAGAAATCACAACCAAAGGGAAAGAATAAAAGAGAATGCAAAGTAATAGTAAAAATATCAGTTATCACAATACAAGTAAATGCAATAAAATTCCCTATTGAAAGACAAGGCTTCTTACAAGCAATTATCAATCTATGTGGCTGTTTGTTCTGTTTTTCTTTTCCTTAGCTATATGTTATTTATTTTCTCAACAAAACTCAAGATTTATAGTTTGAGTTAAGAAAATGTAACTTGGCTGGGCGCGGTGGCTCAAGCCTGTAATCCCAGCACTTTGGGAGGCCGAGACGGGCGGATCACAAGGTCAGGAGATCGAGACCATCCTGGCTAACACGGTGAAACCCCGTCTCTACTAAAAAAATACAAAAAAAAAACTAGCCGGGCGAGGTGGCGGGCGCCTGTAGTCCCAGCTACTCCGGAGGCTGAGGCAGGAGAATGGCGTGAACCCGGGAGGCGGAGCTTGCAGTGAGCCGCGATCCGGTCACTGCGCTCCAGCCTGGGCGACAGAGCAAGACTCCGTCTCAAAAAAAAAAAAAAAAAAAAAAAAGAAAATGTAACTTGATATAATTTGCAAGTGGCACATATAAAACAAAGTATAACATAAGGCAAAAAGCAATAAATGGGGATAAGTAATTTTATATTGAAAATATAAAATTCATAATAAAGATATAATCTTTGTTTATTGAATAATATTGCAACAAGATACACAAAGCAGTTGTTGTTAGAAGCTGACAGAAACCAGAACAGTACTAAAATACCTTAACAGAACAAGAACATAATAAGGATTTAGAAGATATAAATTCTACAAGTGAATAAGCATTCTCCTAATCATGAATGTGTATTTTTCCAGCATTGATAGAATCACCCACAAAAATTAATCATTGAAAAAATTTTTTTACAAAAATATGTATAAAAACATTGTTCAGATTATCTTACTCATATAAACCAAAAAATTTAAACCTATTAGGAAAAGTGTAAATTTTAAAAAGAATCTAATTACTTAGAAATTTAAAAGCCGTCTTCTAAATAGTGCCTGGGTCACAGAGAAAATAAAAGCTGCCATTACAGACTATGCAGAAAAAATGAGCACATTACATTTCATACTGAATAGATAAAGTCAAAGATGTACCTCTGTAAAAACATTTATATTCATAAATATGAAAGCCCAATTTAGTGATTTAGAAAAAAGAAAACTACATTATGGGTTACTCCAGTTACTCCAATATCTATTTCTTTTTTTTTTTTTTTTTGAGATGGACTCTCGCTCTGTTGCCAGGCTGGAGTGCAGTAGTGCCATCTCGGCTTACTGTAACCTCTGCCTCCCGGATTCAAGCAATTCTACTGCCTCAGCCTCCTGAGTAGCTGGGATTACAGGCGTGTGCCACCACATCCAGCTTATTTTTGTATTTTTAGTAGAGATGGGGTTTCAACATGTTTGCCAGGCTGGTCTCAAACTCCTGACCTCAGGCGATATGCCCACCTCGGCCTCCACCCAAAGTGCTGGGATTACAGGTGTGAGTCACTGCGCCTGGCCATTTTTGCATTTTTTTTTAGACGGAGTCTGGCTATGTTGCCCAGGTTGGCATGTAGTGGTATGATCTTGGCTCACTGCAACCTCCGCCTCCTGGGTTCAAGTGATTCTCCTGCCTCAGCCTCCCAAGTAACTAGGACTACAGGCATGCACCACCATGCCTGGTTAATTTTTGTATTTTTAGTAGAGACAGGGTTTCCCCATGTGGGCCAGGCTGGTCTTGAATTCCTGACCTCAGGTGATCCACCTGCCTCAGCCTCCCAAAGTGCTGGGATTATAGGCGTGAGCCACCTTGCCTGGCCCAATATCTAGTTCTTTGAAAAGAACTATAAAATGCAGTTGCAAATCAAACCAAGAAAAAGAGAGAAAACAGCATAATTTGGAATGAGAAAAGAAACAAAATACAGGTCATGTGCAGTGGCTCATGCCTGTAATTCCAACACTTTGGGAGGCTGAAGCAGGAGAATTGCTTGAGCCTAGGAGCTCGAGACCAGCCTGGGAAACATAGTGAGATCCATCTCTACAAAAAACTTTAAAAGTCACTAGATGTGGTGGTACACACCTGTAGTCTTAACTACTCTGGAGGCTGAGGCAGGAGGATCGCTTGAGCTCAGGAGTTTGAGGTTACTGTGAGCTATGATTATAGCACTACACTCCAGTCTAGGTGACAGAGTGAGACCCTGTCTCTAAGAACAAACAAAACAACAAAACCTGAAACCATTATTAGACCTACCGCAAGGTCCTTTTTTTTTTTTTTTTTTTTTTTTTTTTTGAGGTGGATTCTCGCTCTGTTGCCCAGGCTGGAATGCAGTGACACAATCTTGCCTCACTGCAATCTCCACCTCGCGGAGCAATTCTCCTGCCTCAGCCTCCTGAGTAGCTGAGATTACAGGTGCCCACCACCATGCTTGGCTAATTTTTGTATTTTTAGTAGAGATGGGATTTCACCATGTGGGCCAGGTTGGTCTTGAACTCCTGACCTCAGGCGATTCACCCCCCTCAGCCTCCCAAAGTGCTGGTATTATTGCTGTGAGCCACTGTGCCTGGCCAGTCTTACAATTTAATGGAGCAAATAAATAAATTACTGTGTCACATTTTTAATATTTTGATGGTTCAATATATTTGATTTCTTTGTAATCCTGTGTATTTTTGCATTATTTAGAAGTATTATTCTGAAAAGCAATTGTAGGAGCAAAGGAAAGACTGGAAATCTCACTGGAAAATCAACCAACAAGAGGTAGATTAATAGGAGAAATGGCATATAAATTTATTAGCACACACAAGGGAGAATTACAGAGTGATTTCTCAGTATCCTAATGTCATATAGATGTTTCTATATCGTACTTCTTAAGGAAAAAGGAGATGGGTAAGTGTCGATGATTTCAGGGAGGTAGTAAATTATTTTTAGGGGAATTCAACGGGCTTAAAGAACATACAATGGCCTGGGACAATGGCCAGGAGTATCACTTGAGGTCAGGAGTTCGAGACCAGCCTGGACAATATGGTGAAACCCCATCTCTACTAAAATACAAAAATTAGCCAGGCATGGTGGCGCACTCCTGTAATCCCAGCTACTCAGGAGGCTGAGGCAGGAGAATCACTTGAATCTGGGAGGCGGAGGTGGCAGTTAGCCAAGATCGTGCCACTACACTCCAGCCTGGGTGACAGGGCAAGACTTCATCTCAAAAAAAAAAAAAAAAAAGAAAGAAAAGAAACTTGGATAGACACATTCATTACTTTGTGGCGGAGGTTTCATGGGTGAATACTGATGTCAAACATCAACTTTTACATTTTAAATATATGCAATTTATGGTTAGGTCAATGATAGTCCAATAAAACTCTACTATTAATTTTTTTAAGTTAAAAAAAAAGTGGGGAGGAGGTTAAGAACCCTTAAGGGGATCAACATTTTTTGGTAGCTCTGGTCCTGCTAGAATGTCACCAATCTCCAGCCATCTCCTCGTCACTTGCCATGGACCAATCTGAGTTCCTGGAAAACAGGCTTCCTCTGAATTCTAGGTTTCGCCGCAGTTGGTGGGATGGAAGGCCTGAAGGAGAAGTACTTCTTGGCCCTGGCCAGCAACCGGAGCGAGAACAGCAGCTGCGGGCTGCCCCGGCAGGATGCCTTCCATATTTTCCGAGATCCACTGACATCTGATCTCCCATGGCCAGGGGTCCTATTTGGAATGTCCATCCCATCCCTCTGGTACTGGTGCACGGATCAGGTACAGGACAGTGGCCTCAGCAAGCTTTTTCCTTCTCTTTGCTTTTTTCCTTAGGGTGGCTGAAGTCGGTACTTTTTTCTTCCTCCACCTCTTCTCTCATTTGCATTTTCCCTGCTTCCTTGACTGCTTCCTCCTTTCCATTGCTCTATATGCTATTTTGTTTCTTGCTCTTGTGAATGTGAACGACAAATCCAAAGCTGCTGATATTTGCAAAGGCGAAAACTCAACACTCTGCTTTTTTCTTTTTTTTTTTTTCTGAGACAGGATCTCACTCTATCACCCAGACTGGAAGGCAGAGGAATGATCATAGCTCACAGCAGCCTTCATCTCCTGGGCTCAAGAAATCCTCCCATTTCAGCCTCCTGAGTAGCTGGGACTACAGGCACACGCCACCATGCCCAGCTATTTATTATTATTCTTATTATTTTTTAGTAGAGATGCAGGTCTCACTATGTTGACCAGGCTGCTCTCAGACTCCCGAGTTCAAATGATCCTCCCGCCTCAGCCTCCCAAAGTGCTGGGATTATAGGTGTGATCCACTGCAGCCGGCCTAATACACTTTGCTTAATGTATTAGGTGTTACTTATTTATTTATTTTTAACTGGGAATATCCAGTAGGCAAAGGAGATGATACCTTTTAAATGGGGGTTAAAACTCCTATTGGACATTATTCGTTCAACAAATACACACTGGTTGTCCTCTACATACCAGGCACTCTTCTGGGCACTTAAAATCAGGAGCTAATAAATCAAACCAAGCTCTCTGCCCTTGTGGAGCGTCCCTTCTTCTAATGGGAGTAGACAGAGACAATAAGTAAATTATGTGAGATGTTAAAATATGATAAATATCATTTTAAACAGTAGAGTGAGGTCAAGGAGATTGAGAGTGTGGTAGTGCAATTTAAAATGGGGTGACAGGTGGCTCACACCTGTCATCTCAGCATTTTGGGTGGCTGAGGCAGGACGCTCACTTGAGTCCAGGAGTTTGAGACCCACCTGGGCAACGTAGTGAGACCTTGTCTCTTAAAAAAAAAAAAAAAAAAATTAAAAATTAGCCAGGCATGGTGGTGTGCGCCTGGAGTCCCAGCTACTTGGGAGGCTAAGGTGGGAGGATCGCTGGAACCCAGGAGGTCAAAGCTGCAGTGAGTTGAGATTGCACCACTGCACTCCAGCCCAGGCAACAGGCTTGAGACAGCAAGACCCTGTCTCAAATAATGTAGGGTGCTTAGGGGAGGTGTCATTGAGAAGTGACCTTTGACCAAAGACTTTGTAGAAGAGCGAGAGCTCCCCGTGATTTTTGGAGGAAGAGTTTGCAGCAGAAGGAACACCCAGAGCAAAGGCAGATACATAACTGGTGTGAAAAAAGAGAGGAGAAAATCAAAATACAGAACCATGTGTACAAGAAGCCCTTTTGTGTTTAAAAAAAAAAAAAAAAGGAATAGAATCAATATTTGCGTTTGCTTATATGTGCATAAACTCTGGACAGATGTATACAAAACTAGGAAGAGTGGATACCTGTGGGCAGGGAGGCAGGGCAGGTGGGAAGGATGAGTGGGAGCTGATTCACTGCATATTGTATTTTCTCGGATTTTAAACTGAGTGAATATATCACGTGTTCAAATATTCTTTTTTTGTTACATGAAACATCAGAGGCCTATGTATCACTTGGGGAGTTATACTGCATAGTGAGGGCTGATGAGAGTTTAACTAAAGCAATAATCATGGCATTGGACAATTGATTTGATGCAGGAGACTTCACAGAAAATGAAACCCAGGTCCCATCCATAGGCCAGCCCTCCTTTGAGCCAGGAGCTAACGACCAAGGCAGTGATGACAGCAAGGCACATGTACTGCCCCTTTAAGAAAGAGACCCCCTTCACCTCCTTAGCAAATCTCAGATAGGAGACACCCTGAGAAACAGGACTGATCCAGGCTAACATCATGGGCTTTAATTTTAACAGACCCGGCCAGGTGCGGTGGCTCATGCCTGTAATCCCAACACTTTGGGAGGTCAAGGCAAGTGGATCACCTGAAGTCAGGAGTTTGAGACCAGTCTGGCCAACATGGCAAAACCCCGTCTCTACTAAAAATACACACAAAAAAAATTAGCCAGGTGTGGTGGCGAGCACCTGTAATCCCAGCTACTCAGGAGGCTGAGGCAAGAGAATCACTTGAACCCGGGAGGTAGAGGTTGCAGTGAGCCGAGATCATGCCACTGCACACCAGTCTGGGCAACAAAGTGAGACTCCATCTCAAAAAATGAATTAATTATGCCAGGCACAGTGGCTTATGCCTGTAATTCCAGCCTGGGCAACAGAGCAACACTCTGTCTCAAAAACAAACAAAACAGAAAAAGACAGTTGACCCATTCTGCCACTGGGAAAAAGTCATTTGTAAAAACCAGCCAGAGACAATTTCACCTGCCCAGGTATTCCCCCGAGACCATCTTCCTCCTTCCTTTATTGAACCAATGTTTACTCTTTTCAGGTTTCTGAACTTCTTTTTTATTATTTATTATTATTATTAGTTTTGAGACAGAGTCTCTCTCTGTCGCCCAGGTAGGAGTAGAGTGGTGCGATCTCAGCTCACTGCAACCTCTGCCTCCTGGGTTCCAGCAATTCTCATGCCTCAGCCTCCTGAGTAGCTGGGACGATAAGCATGCACCATCATGCCTAGCTAATCTTCGGTATTTTTTGTAGAGATAGAGTTTTGCTATGTTGGCCAGGCTGGTCTCGAACTCCTGACCTCAAGTGATCCACCCACCTCGGCCTCCCAAACTGCTGGGATTACAGGCATGAGCCACCGCGCCCAGACAGATTTCTGTACTTCTGACCTACAGCTCTCTGATCTGGTTTCTGTTAATCCTACTCTCATCTATTTCTATTTCGTTGACCTGTTGGAACTTCTTTCTCTGGTTTCATCTAACAGCGGTGGTGATGACAATGACAATAATCATGACTGCTCTCTTTGCTAAAGAGCTGCTAGACACCTGAAAAGCAAGCACAGTTATCATCCCCATTTTACAGATGAGAGAGCTGAGCCTGGAAAGGTTAAGGAACTCATCCAAGATCACAAAGAGCTGGTGGGGGGATTCACACCTAAGTCTGGCTCCATTCATTCATTGTACCGCGACTATTGGATGCTCTCAATTCTGGGAACCCACCCCCAGCTGCATTTCTGTGCAGACGTCTGCTCCCTGGTCACCGTGCTCCACCATGACAGCTCTCCCTCCTCCTTTCCCACATCAAGGAAGGGAAAATTTGTACATGATTATTGTGGAAAAAGCAAGGAAAGATAAGGTAGCTAGATGACAGATGCCGTAACAGATGGCTGACGTAGCTAACCATAACCCCTCCTCCCCACATATTCAGATTGCATTTTCATTCCTCTCAGCTCACTTTTTCCCCCACAACTGAGATGTTACTTCTTAAGAACCACTTAGCCGGGCACAGTGGCTCACGTCTGTAATCCCAGCACTTTGGGAGGCCAAGGCAGGCGGATCACGAGGTCAGGAGATCGAGACCAACCTGGCTAACACAGTGAAACTAAAAACCATCTCTACCAAAAATACAAAAAATTAGCTGGGCGAGGTGGCAGGAGCCTGTAGTACCAGCTACTTGGGAGGCTGAGGCAGGAGGACTGTTTGAAGCCAGAGGTTCAAGACCAGCCTCCTCAATATAGCAATATAGCAAGACCCCATCTCTAAGTAAAAATTTTACAAATTAGCTCAGTGTGGTGATTCATGCCTATTTTCCCAGCTACTTGAAAGACTGAGGCGGGAGGATCATTTGAGCCCAGGACTTTGAGGCTGCAGTGAGCTATGATCACATCATTGCATCACTGAGCTATGATCACATCATTGCATTTCAGCCTGGGCAACAGAGTGAGACCCCATCTCCTTAAAAAAAATAAAAAAGGCATTTTTAAAAACTTACATGATGGGGAGTCCAGAGGTGGTTAATGGCAATGGAAACAACTAATATTTATGAAGCAGTTACTATGTGTCATATTCTAAGTATTCTAAGTACTTTCACTTCTCTAATTTTCAAAACTGCGCTGGTATTATGCTCATTTCATAGATGAGGAAACAGAGGCCAAGAGAGGTGAAGCTGCTTGCCCAATGTCAGATAGGCGGGAAGTGGGGAGGTAGGATTTGAACCTAGACTGCCTATCTCTGATACTACATCATCACACATTGTCTTTCTTTCCATTTCCTGGTTTTCTTTTCTCTGTGATGACTTAGTTTCAAAGAGGCCATCCCATATGATGGCAGAGATGCAGCCAGCAGCTCTACACCTCGTTCACAGTTAGTAATTGCAAAGGAGGCACCAGGAGTTAGGAAACCTCTTTCCTTTTCTTTTCTTTTTCTTTTTTTTTGTTTTTGAGACAGAGTCTCACTCTATCACCCAGGCTGGAGTGCAGTGGTATGATCTTGACTCATTGCAACCTCCACCTCCCGGGTTCAAGTGATTCTCCTGTCTCAGTCTCCCAAGTAGCTGAGATTACAAGTGTACACCAATGCACCCAGCTAATTTTTGTATTTTTTATAGAGATGGGGTTTCACCATGTTGGCCAGGCTGGTTTCGAACTCCCAGCCCCAAGCAATCCTCCTGCTTCAGCCTCCCAAAGTGCCGGGATTACAGACATAAGCCACTGCACCTGGCCTTCTTTGCCCTTTTAAGGAAGAAATTCCATGGAGAGGTGTGGCTGGATTGCCTTGGGGACATGCTTTTCCTTAATGGATCATGGTAGCCAGAGAGGTGGAATAATTCTGTGGAGGACTTTAACTGGCCAGGCATAACCCCTGGATAAGAGTAGGGAGGGAATGGGGTGGGTGTCTTAGCTACCTGAATTAGACCACAGGGACTGAGCATAGGAAAGAGATGTTTCTTCAAACACAAGCGTGGCAAACCAAGATCCTAAGTCTCCTACACCTACCAAGAGGCTAAACACACCCTTTTTGCCTTAAGAGAAAGCCTTTTAATACAGTCCATTCTCACATTGCTGATAAAGACATACCCGAGACTGGGTAATTTATAGAGAGGGTGAATGGACTCACAGTTCCACATGGCTGGGGAGGCCTCAAAATCATGGCAGAAGGCAAGAAGGAGCAAGTCACGTCTTCCATGGATGGCAGCAGGCAAAGACAGAATGAGAGCCAAGTGAAAGGGGTTTCCCCTTATAAAACCATCAGGTCTCATGAGACATATTCACTACCATGAGAACAGTATGGGGGGAAACTGCCCCCATGATTCAATTTTCTCCCACTGGCTCCCTCCCACAGCATGTGGGAATTATAGGAGCTACAATTCGAGCTTTGGGTGGGGACACAGCCAAACCGTATTAGCATTCCCAGTTTCCAACCCCCTTGATCTTTTCCAGGTGATTGTCCAGCGGACCCTGGCTGCCAAGAACCTGTCCCATGCCAAAGGAGGTGCTCTGATGGCTGCATACCTGAAGGTGCTGCCCCTCTTCATAATGGTGTTCCCTGGGATGGTTAGCCGCATCCTCTTCCCAGGTGAGAACACAGCTAGGGGAAGAGGTCATCGGTATGTGAGTCTCAGACCATGTGAATTATTCTAAACATATTATTAGAAGCCTCAAGAGAATGTGACTACAGTCCTTTCTCTCTTTTTCTAAGACAGAGTCTCATTCTGTCACTCAGGTTGGAGTGCAGTGATGCAGTCATAGCTCACTGTAACCTTGAACTACTGGGCTCAAGCAATCCTCCCACCTCAGTCTCCTGTGTGGCTGTGTTATGCCCAGACCGTTTGTTCCCCAAAGATCACCAGAGTCCAGAGTCAAAGCCAAGCTTTTTGTTTAGGTCTGCACCCAGAGTCCAGGTCAGCCAAGCAGCAGGATCTTTACAAGTTGAACTTAGTCCCTCCATTCCACATATGGGAGCTGAGGCAATACCAGTGCTTGCCTTTTATAGCGAAAATTGCGATGGACAGCAAAGTTACACAGAGGAACAACAAAGGAATTCTTTTGGTTACAGCATTACAATTGGTTTACATTTACATTTAGTAGTAGTTTTTTTTTTTATTGGTTCTGCAGCTTTCAATGCAACTTCTAAAATGGCTGTGTCCTTAACAGATTTTCAGGTGGTGCATTTGTACTGGGCCAGGAAGTCGAGAGATATGTGTTTGTACTGGGTTTGTTTGTGTTGAAGGTATATGGTGGGATGTGTGTGTTTGTACACAAGGCCACCTCATTTGTATTTGAGCCGGGGCTGAGGAATGTGCCTGATTTCTTTTCATCCCCTTTTTCACTTAGGTACTTCTGACCAATCTTGGTCTTATAAGTCTGATTCTGTTTCAGCATTTCAGGTTGGCTTGTATTGGGCTCCGAGGACCATGAGCTGTCGGTGTCTTAAATCTCTCCCTGACAAGTGCTTAAATTCTGTCTTCAACAACTTTGCAGTCTCTGATCAACTCAAATAGTAGACTTAGCAGGGTCAAAGGAGGGGATAGGGAAAACACAGAGATTCCACCATTAGGTCTGCAGCTGCAGAAACCATTGCCGTGTTTTTATATAGCTTAACTTCAGCAGTAACTGTTAGATAGTCCTCCTACAAGCCCTGATTCATTTATGTAGAAACAACAGTCTTCTTTTAGAAACATACATGTACACCACCTTTTCAGCAGTGAGTAGGTCTAGAGGTCCTCCGGTTCTGCACACAAGGTTACCTGAGCAAGAATGAGCTGCCGCTGAAGGGAGGCAAGGAGGACTGTTGACTCCTCCTGCCTTGTGACAAATTTTGCAGTACAACTTGTTTGCTCTATGAGGGTGTGACCTAGAAGACTCCCCCGCCATCCAGCCGCAATGAGGATGCGGTGAGGGAGATTGCAATGAGAGAGAAATATGGCTCGTGCAGATTCAATCTGAGGACTTGGGTGAATAGCAGTACTAGTCAAGTTACCTGCCATGTGCCCCTAGGAACTACTTCGGCCCAGTTAGTAGAAGTCAAGCTGGGGAACTAATGTGACAGGAAACATTCAGGGTTGGTAACAGGCGGACTAGATGAGTTCTTAGATAAATATTCCATTACACCAAAGGAAAGAATATGCCAGCAGAGCCCTTAGGAATTAGGGGGGCAGTTGCAGTGATGCTGCAGAGGCTGGGGTGGTTCCTGAGAAACAGTGAAGCTTCTCTGACAGGTTTGGAGGTATAGGGGCGTTAAGGACTAGGAGCATATGGGGTTTCAGGGGTTATTTAGCTTGGGCCAGTAGAGGATCCCCATGGCAGAGGACAGTGGTTATGGTGGGCCTAGGGAGTGGCACACACAGAAAGCAGCCAGACAGGCTGTGTAAGTCACTACTCAAGATTATAAGTTCTAGTCCTTCTTATAATAGTTTTACAACAGGAGAAAGGACGTAAGTCTATTGATAGTGTTTTCTTGTCGTTGGATATTTCTATGGACCAGGGCAGTACTTGCACTAGGCCTACGTCTGAATGAGGTGACTGCTAGGCCATGTGGAGGAGGAGTAGTATACAGCTGCATGTTGGCGTGGTCCAGCCCCAGGAGTTCAGAGACACTAACTATCACATATGTACAAAAGTCTCCATCCGTCTACGATGGAAGGCCCCATAAGGTCTCAGTGCCTCTCTCCCCTAATACTTGGGATCTTATGGATGTTACAATAGTTATAGAGGACAGCCGGCATTTGGTGCCTGGCCAGTGTTTCTACAATTTCAGCCATTATGATCTAAAGTCAAGCTCAAAGCATATTATTGTTGTCACATAGGTTTGGCTATTTGAAAACCAGTAAAATTTAGTAGGTGGAGCTGTTGCACCTGAGGAGGGCAATCAGCACTGGCCAATAATTTCACTGCAGGCACAGAGGTTGCCCCAGGGTGGGTTCTGATTTCATAAAGCCAGAATCTTCAGACCGAGGATTAAAGCTGGTTTTGTGATTACAGCCAGCCTGGGCGACTAATTAGGTTAGACTACTGTGCATGTTTGCAGTGACTATGCTGCGGCGCAGGAGTGAGTTTAAGGGGTTGTTCTTAGCTCTGTCCAGTCACGTCTCAGTGCTTCAACCGCCGCCGTGATTGGTCCCAGAAGGAGTCGGAGGAGGTTGGGTCACTGGCTTGGCGTGGGCAGGTGTAGTGGATCACGATGCGATGCAGCCTTCTACCTTTAGAGCGGTGGGTGTGGTTAGAGTACCTGGTGTGGTCACTTTACCTGGATTCTAGGGTCTCTTGTCGGTGTCGCTTGACCAGGATGATCTCCTGGCTGAATGCAGGATGGAGATTGTGGCCAGGATGATCTCCTTACCTGGATTTCATGGCTTGTGACCAGAATCTCTTGATGGATTACTGCCACTGACTTGCAGGGAAAATAAGAGTTCAAGAGACATTTTCTGTTTTGAGACTTAGGCAGTCATCTTTTAGGCTGGGAACTAGGGGTGAGGTCTACCATACATGATTTCATAAGGGGTAAGGCCCAGTCTGTAAGGAATTACGGGCCCAGGTGGGCGTAGGGGAGAAGGACCCACCCAGTTGGCATGGTCTCATAGTCAATTTAGTTAAGGTCCTCTGCCACAGGTCAGTTCATCCTCTCTACCTTGTCTAATGTGCCATGAACTCTGGGGCCTGTAAAGCGCAATGTAGTTCCAATTTGCCCAGGATGGGCGGCAAATCCTGACTTACATATGACGAGCCGGCCCATTATCTGACCCATCTGGGCGGGGAAGCCATACCTGGGAGGATGTCTTCATGATTTTCTTTGCTACAACCTGAGCAGTTTCCCTTTCAAGAGTGTTTGATCCACCCTGAAAAAGTATCTACAAAGACAAGTAAGTACCGTGCCCGTATTTTCCTGGCTTATCTCAGTAAAATCTACTTCAGTAGATGCCGGGCCTGGTTCCCCTGAGCCTTGTTCATTGCAGCACTGGGAAGTTGGGGGTGGCGTTGTTAAGCTGGCAGACTTTACAACTTGTCACAATGCTGCTGGCCGTCTTAAGCTTCTTCTCTGATTTTGAGTTTGGGTGTCTGATCAGGTCTATCATCCGCGAACTTTTGGTGGGTGGTTTGAGAACAGATGTGTTCCCTTATTGCCATTTGTCCTAATTTTTCTGGTAGGATGGTTTGGTCATTAGTATCAGTCCACCACCATTCTGGATCTGTTTATGGGAAGTTTGTCAATCCATTGGAGATCTTGTTCTGTAGTTAATCAGGGGAGATATACATAGCAGTCCTGAGGCCGGATCAGGGAGCTGGGAGGTGCAAGGGAGCTGGCTGGGAGCCTTTACCCACCTCCTTGCAGTTTGGTCTGCCCAGAGAGTTGCCAAGCAATTCAATTGGTTGGTTTCTGAGTGCCTGGGCAATGTACAATAGCCAATTTTCTGGTCTCCACATAGGGCTGTCATTAACAGGAGCTACGAGATCTCTCTTACACTGTTTTTATCTCTTTTCCTTCACCATTCAATAACCCTCGCGCTCCTGTAAATACTTCCCCATGTATATGCGCATGCTTAGCCTCTCGGCTGTCATGTATATATACTGTCAGTTTCTTCCCTGCCCCTAAGAGTAAGAGCTTGGTGAGTGCTATCAGTTGACCTTCTGGGCCGATGTTCCCAAGGCAGGAGTTCGCCCAAATTACCTCAGTCTCTGAAATTGCTGCCGCTCCAGCGTCTGCCTCTGCAGCCAGCCAGGCATGCGAAGCTGCTCCCATCATTAGACAGACTAGGTCAGCGTCCGGAAAGTGGTCCTGCGGTATCTCGAAACTCCTGCACCCAGGCCCTGTGTCTGGTGCAATCATGGTGGAAGCGAGGTGTCAGGTCGGTTCGGAGCAGCTTGGCGAAGCGGGGTTTAAGAGCGTTGTTGGGGGCAGAAGAGATTATCTGGGGATTTATTAGTAGTCGCCCGGCGTGGTGGTGGCAGGCGTTTACTCTGCCATCGATTAGGTGGCTGTTTGATACACCTGGTGGCATGTGGGAAGTAACGACCGTGTTCTTGACCCATGACAGAGTTTATCAGCATCTTGTACCGTCAGGGCCGTGGCGCAATCATTCAGAGACAAGGGCCACCCGGCTGGCACTGGGGTCTCAATTTGCTGACAGGTAGGCAGCCGGCCTCCTCAGGGGCCTAAGTTCTGGGTTATTGCCGCGCTTGGCTCCCACCGCTTGCTCGTCCGCATAAGAGTGGAAGGGCTTGGTGACATCAGGTAGTCCCAATTGCAGGCGCGAAGGTAGGCAGTTTTGATGAGTCCCTGTTGGAAGACACAGCTAAGCTATTCTGTCAATATTGGCTGCTGCCCTGTGCCTGATACAAGGGTTTAGCCAGCTCTGCAGAACCCAGGTATCCATAGTCTACAAAATCCAATGAGCCCCAGGAGATTGCACTTACTTGTCCAGATTGTGGTTGTGTTGAGGATCTGAACAGTCCGCTTCCGGCGATTTGAAATTAACCAGTGCTGCCCTCCTTTTAGCAGGTACCCCAGATGTCACTTCTGATTTACAGATTTGAGCTTTCTTTGCACTGAGCTCGGTGGCCTCTTCCTAACATAAGAGA